ACCATGTAAAACATGGTAATATGTACAGTATAGTATGTGAGGAGTCCAACTTCACCAATTAAAAAAAAATGTTATACCTATAAATTTTTTTTTAATTGGTGAAGTTGAATTGAAAAATAAATAATTAAATACTTAAATAAAAATAATTACTGTGATGAATTAATGTGAATTCGATAGTTTGCAGGCATCTTATTTGAACTTTAGGTTGAAAAGAAAAATGGTGTGGCCCAATTCATTGAAACCTATACATTTTGTTGAAAGAGTGATTGGCAGAGAGAAATGACCGGCCGTCCCGATGGATTGAGAATGTATTCCATTCTCAATTCTTGTAATGGAAAAATTTCAAATTCTATCGTCGATTCATTTTACGAAATCAAGATTGCTTTGAGACTGTGGGAGTCGTGGATAGTTAGGTAACTATGATTTACGGATATATTCTGAGTAACGTATTGCTTTATATATATACTATATTACATTTAGGGCTTATGATAAAATATTAATCTACTGAGTTCCTTTGATGTAATATAAATCTGGACAAAAAAAGTGAAAAAAGAAAATACTTTCTTATTGAACCGACAGCTTGTCAGTAAAATGGAATGTTTTGACATGTTTTAGTAAAAAGTGATAAAGCCAATATTAAATTGACAGTTCGGTAGATACTGAAGGTTCAGTTTTCATCCGAGCAAGAGTTTTCAGCAGTGAGCAAAGTTAAAATATAATATGGAGATCCCAGATGGAGCAGATAAAAGTATTAAGTATTATAAAACAGAAATAAACGTACGCTCTCTTTTTTTACAGATTTAGGAACCCGTCCCGGTGCTGTCCACGGGTGCATAAATACCTCTTTTAAATTGATATACAAAATCAATTAAATTCTGTAGGAAAACTTAAGCAAAAATATACAGAGAACTTTATTTTACTTGGGGAATCTTCACCAATGTAACCAGAATAATTCACTAAAGTTTCATCATAATAGGATGAATGGTTTTGGAATGTATAGAGGACAAACGTACACATGTTAATCTTATTTAAAAAGATGTAGTTATTATATTAGACAATAGATAGCAATGAAAATATCCCAACACTATGTATCATATACATTAAATAACAGTTCTTATGAGTGGCAACTTTGATTTCTATGTAAAGTCAGATGTCACAAAGCTTCTTTGTTGAGTCCGTAGGTAACTTCATCAGATGCAACGTGATTTACAATTCAGATAGCTTCAGTGGAAAAATTCCCATCACGAACTCAACATTATAAAGCTTACTTCAGAATTGTTTTATTTCTAGCTCCAATTTAAAACTGAACAACTTCTGTCGCTCGATGACTGTCTTGTTTTCCCTTCAAATGTCAATTTCAAATGAAAAACTATGATATTTCAAAAAAAGAAAATGAAGTTTCGTGTATTCATTATATTATACGATACTTCCATTAATTATCTTAAATATCCACTGTTATAAGTGGGTGCATATAACAGTGGATGAGTAATGCGTTTATTCATGATCAAGGAGCCCATAAAGTAACTATTAAAATAAATGATTTAAATTCTATAATTATAAAACGTGGTAGTAAAAATTAAAACACACTATTTAAAAATAATAAAAAAGCCCTCATTTGAAATATAAGTGTAATCGGTAGGGAAATAATTATAATAAAAAAAATGTTCATTAGTGGCTAAAATGTCCTACATGAATAAATATTTTTTGAGTTTGATTTGAATTTAGTATTCTTCATAATTTTTCGTGGAAAATTCTTGTTATTTAGTATTCTCATAAACCATCTCAACTGCCCCAATCATCTCAAAAATAAATCCAGCCCACGTACGTTAAATCTGATCTGACACTCTATATTCATGACGTGCCAACACATGACATGAATAAGAACAGAAGTTGAATACCTGTATGTTTAGGGTTTGTGCCCAAATGGAACAATCGTTCATCAGTTTGTTTGTATGTACATTGCTAGCAATACACTTTACATACGTATTTATTACAAACTGTGCTTGCGACTTTGTTCGCGCTCAGGCTTAGAATTTTTTGAATTTTATATGTAGCTCGTACAATGAAGCGACGTCCAAATGACTTAAAATGGTGATTTAAATGTGGATTCATCATATAAATCTTTTAGTTGCATAATTGAGATCATATAGGCTTAACATAGAAGTAAATGTTATTGAATCAATCATTAGTATATAAATATATAATTTATTGATTCATAATATTTACTTACAGAATATTATGTCACTAAAATAATAATGATATGTGATTATTGTATATTATAGAACTGCCGCAGTCTATATAAATAAAAAAAAATTGGTACAAAATATAGTTATTATTAATTAAATATATAATTAATTTAAATAGAGAAAAAAATGTACATGTCACTTTGTCATGTAAGAAGTTAAAATGATCAAAACAACCTTTTTAACTAAGATCTAAATAAAATTGAATTTTCTGTAATAGACAATAAAGAAGGACCAGGGTGAAAATTAAAAACACAATTCGGCAATACTCCTCTAAATAATTGTAACATATATGATATGGAATGCTTTAGTATAATTATTCTGATCTGATTACTTACTTACTTAGATTTATAACAAAAAAAGCAAAGTATTAGAAAGTAAAATAAATGAGTAACGTAAATATAAACGTAAATATGTTAAAAAATGTTTAATTAAAAATGGAACTATTATAGATTTTTATATAAATTGTTTTTTTCATTAATATGTTTTATGGCTCTGGATAAAAGTATATTTTAGCCCAAATCTAAATTGTTTATTGTGCGTTGCGGTACATATATAATTTTTAAATTCCCTATAATACCTTACTTTTTTTTCAATACAAAGCATGGTTAACAGCGTTATTATTAAAAAAACTATTTCAGATATTATTTTGGTTACAAAATATTTAAAGATCTTTAAAAATAAAATTGAATGGTTCAGTAGCGTAATTTAAGGATGTTGTCTTTACATTAAGCGGTTCGCCGATCCATTCGATTTTGAAGGTTTGTAACATTCTTGCAATCAACGTCTCTATCTCCAACTCGGCGATGCGACGACCTAAAATCAATCAAATCAATAGTTACTAAAATTAATACTGTACCTACAATTTTTTCTTATTAAAGCAGTAAAAACGTTCCTATTTTATAGATAAATGGATATATAGAATATACTTGTATTTGCCATATATACAAAAGAGAAAAAAAAATCACTTGAACATTTATCAATATATCTGTACCACGTACTTAAATGTTCTTTTATTAGACGCTTAAAAAAACCATTAGACTTTCATAAATTGATACTATTACAGTTACAGTAAACGATATATGGTAAAATTCAGTGGAATGGAAAGCGGTAGAAAGTAAAAGGTACTTTTGCTGTCAATAGTATGTGATATGTTACACTATTTTTTTTGTCTTACATTTACAAGATTTTTTATTTACTTGTCATAAATTTCTCAACTGAAGTAGCTAGCCGAACTACGTGATGGACAACTATTTATGACGTGCCAAAAAAATTTTCAATGTAGAGAAATAATTTTCACATTGACCAACTTAAATTATTTCCGGTACATAAAATCATTCTATAATATTACATAAAATAAAGGGAGCGAGCTATAAAAGAATCCGCATAATATGGAAAAGATCATGTCACCATTTGTGTTCCATTCCCTAACAGATACGCATTACGCTCCTTCTTATATTCATAGACAGCTCTCTATTATTTATATATAAAACGCGTCGTCTATTTATACATAGTTGCAGTAGATTTGTTTGATTACTTTGTACATGTCCGAAATGATTTCTATCTAAATCTTTACTTGGATACGTGCTTTTTTATTCGTATTGGCTAATGCAGATTTCCTATAAAGAATGTTTTCTGTTTTAACCAAAAGTATTTAATTATTTACCTATACAGCTGCGTGCTCCAAAACCGAATGGACTGGTGACGAATGGATGTGTGTTTCCATAATATAAGGGATCATCTTTTCCTACAAGCCACCTTTCTGGGATAAATTCCTTAGGTCTGGGGTAATGCTCTTCCATTCTTGACATAATTTCGTGAGAGAATACGACAAACATCTGAAAATACATGCAGAAATCTAGAAATCAATTGTTTAGTAATTTGCTTAAACTTCATTTAAATGAAGTTTAAGTAGTGAGATAATAAAACCTATTGATTTTTATATAATATACAAATAAAAACTAACCCCTTTGGGTATGTTGTATCCCAGTACATTATGTTCCTTTGTCGTTCTTCTTAAATTTCCAGATACGATTGGCATTACCCTCATGGACTCTTTAATGCAAGCTTTTAAATATGGCCTTTTCGTCTCGTTCGACAAAATCTCTTCTCTCAATTTCTCTTGTTTTTCTGGATTTGCAGCAAGCAAATAAAGCGTCAACAATACTGTATTAGATGTCTGCAACAAACAATAATGTATGAAAACACAACATTAATTGTCACGAAAAGGAAGAATGTTTAACTGATTTTTTAAGAAGAAACGTGCCGTCCTTATCTAAAAACATATGGACGATATTTCTAACATGCTTAAAAAGTTATGCTTCAGCCTGCCCATCTGAGACATGATAGTACTTCAAATAAAAATTTTTAATATTAAGGGTTTTTTTGAATTTATAGTATTAGGAAATCACATTTTTGTAACTCACCGTATCCACACCAGCAAATAACATGTCAGAAGCCATAATATGTGCAACAGTTTCATCTATTTCAAGTAGTTTTTCTAGAACTCCTCTTTCTTCATTAGTATTAGGGCTCTTCGTTTTAAGCTTTTTTATTGCCTCATCGACAAAGTATTTTGTTAAACTAAAATACATAGAATTAATATATATACATATAGATATATGTAACTATGTATTACTAATTATTTATCTATACAAATTGATCTTAGCATATCGGTGTTAAGTAAATAAAAAAGATAGAAAAAATTCGATTGTAAAAATGTAAAATAATTTGTGTGAATTTTACACACTTGCTTACTTTTCTTGATCTTCATATACTTTCATTGCTCTCTTGAACATAGGAGTCGAAATATATCTCCATAGACTTGGCTTAAAGTCTAATGCTTCCGATACTGTGAAGAAATCGTGAATAACCTTTATGAGCTTCCTCGCTGGGGAACCTTCAGGTAAATTTGGATCTAAACAGTTAAGGCGATCTCCCAGCGCCACGACACCAATGGACTCTAACGACCACAGATTCATTTCGACGTCTAATTTACTTTTGATCATATTGTTATCATCACGAATTGATTTCAGTCTGGAACAACATGTTAAACTTAATAACTAATTATGTTTTATGTTAATAGAACATTGAGCTATTTGCATAAATCAAATTGTGGCATTCATTAGGGAATATGCTATGTATAGTGTAGTTATAATGAGAACGATTATTGTAATATACAACTATTGTATATATAAGAAAGTTCAAAGGGAAATATTTATTGAAAATCCAAACCTGGCGACCATATCTTGTGCAACTTCATCAAGGATCTCACTATAAAGTTTTATGGTTTTTGGCTGGAGCAAAGCAGGGTTCACCGAAGATCTAAACTTCTTCCACTTTTCACCGTGACTGAAAAAAAATATAATACGAATATCAGGATATATATGTACGTATATATACTTTTAAAAGTAAACTATTTTAAAGGAGTAATTACTCAGTCAAAAGTCCAGCAAATTCAGTCTTATTTTTCCGGTAAGAGTTCCTGTAATATTGTAGTGACAAAAATCCTGGTCTTTCTGGTAACCAGTTTTCTCCGCGAAGGATCTGAAATTAAAAGGACGTTTTAGTTACTAAATAAGCCACATAGAGTAAATAATCTGTACTTATTCCATTCTTGGGTAAATGGAAAGCTTTGATATTGATCAATTAGCACTACTAAGTACATAGAGTTACTTAGGTAAATATTTTTATTACTGCTGTTTACAATTCATGCATTACGTTAGAAGAACTTCTCACCAAGAAGTGTTTAATGAACCATATTAAATAATTCTACCTTCTTGTTTTATTTCCTGTAGTTTGTTCAATCAACTCATTACTTTACTACATAATTGCGCACTTAGATACAACTTATAAATGAATAATGCTTGTGTAGAACAATAATGGAATATTTAAAAAGAGATGGTAACTGTATGGTACCACAACCAAACTGTGCAGTATTGATTGATAAGTTTTGGTATAACTTTATATATACAGACGTACATATATGTAAGTGTGTGTGTAATGTGTGTAAGGTGGTTTCCTTTTACTACCTTTTTTTGGTACTTTAGAGGTTTTGTCAAATTGTAAAATGTGCTGTTATACTGGATTCTAGCAGAGAATACGTTTCACCATTTCTCGATATTGGGAATGGTAACAGCAGAATTAAAATATGCAGAAAGTGCATAAAAATGTAGGTACCTAATTAAAAATCGATCCATATGGAAATATAATGAACCTTCACTAAAATCTTTGTTCAATAGTAAGAATGAATGGCGAATGTTATGATTATGGTGAAGATTAATAATTATTATTGAACTCACTTGTGCGCAACTTTCGGGGTCGAAAAAAATTATGAGAGGCGGAGCACCGAGTGGAGTTTCAAAACGAGATATAGGGCCATATAATTTCTGCATTTTTAGAACAAAATCCATCGATGTCAAGTTGTAAAAATCCCCTAGAATAAAAGCCTAATTTAAAAAATCGCTAGTATAGTTCTATATTAGTTCATAGGTACTGTAAATAGTAACAATTGTTTAGTAAGTGTTAATTAAGATGGTATTACTACAATAATTTTATCATATAAATGCCGTCAATTTTTGGCCAATCAGTCCACTATAAAAAGTCAGTGAGGTGTAATCAGCACATAGAACCACATCCACATCTATTATGTATGATAACAGGAAGACCACTAACTTAAATTAACAGTTGAAAGGTACTAAGAATTTTAGATAAAGACCAATAAAAACTTTCCTGAAATTCTCACGCCAACAGAAGATAACGGGCTTGTTCGAGCAAGTACGAAGAACTAACAAATATTTTCAAGTTCAACAGATGTGGTTGGTGTTATAATTTTTATCAAAATTCATTTAAAATTCTCACCTCCGGGTAGTATATGATGGAGTTGGCCAATGATTGGTAATGATGAAGGTCCCGGTATTTCCCGCCATGGTTTACCCTGTTGTACAGGTTCCTCAGCTTCTTTTATTCCCGCATTATTTATAGCTATATTCCTGAAATATGTTAGTATGTATAATTTTATAATAAAATGTCTTTCGAGACATTTGCTGGTAAACTCTATATGAATTGGTACATAGTAATATAAAGCTATAACAGAAAAATAAAATAGTTTTGAATTTTGCTGAAATCTAACTCAACCGACGATCGGAGCAACCAAACAACCGTAAATAATGTTTATAGCATTATATTATTAGAGCTAAAAATTGGATATGAAATAAATAAGTAACTACATATATTTAAAATAATTGAATTTATATTACCTGGTAAAATTTTTGTTGACGAATGCCAATTGCAGCACTGGGCGTAATTTTGTTGTTTGCATATTGTTAGTTATGGAGAAGTATGTACTAGACTGCTTCGTCGCAGTGGCTGCTCTATATCCCCGTCTGATAATAAATTTTTATAATCAGGCTATCTTTAGATATAATATAAATTATTATAGCACACTAAATAACAAATAAGTATCTATAGTTATATTTATGTATATTATGCAAGTGCAATGCAACGTAAGGTTTGTATTCTAACCATCGAATTTTGAACTTAAACGCCTATTTAGAGAATTAATAATACACACCGCAGAATTAACAATAGATATAATTTTTTTTAAGTAGATATGAATGCACATATATACGAAAATGAATACAATATTAAGTGTACCTGATTTTGGTTTAATAGTAAGAATTTTCCCATTCTATGTAATTTATTACACTATTTCAATTGTTGAATTTCGAATTGCACTAAACATTTCAAATTATATAATAGTTTACATACAGATACACATCCAGTACAGACTGAGTCCGCGTTAATACTGAGTACAATTTTAATACCGGTTGTCCAGGGCTGGGCTCAGGTGACCGATAAAAAATACCATTATATTTAACTTAAATTGCCAATATATTACATTAAGGTTCAAGTTATTTCGTATTCACTACGTGTTTTTTTTTATACTTATTAAGGTCAATAAATAATACATTGTTTATATCATCTAATGCTTTTATTTCAATTGTAGAATATGTGTCGCAGACTGCGTTGACCACTAATCGCTATAATATTATCCTCGTTAAGGTCTGATAATGAGTACTCAGTTTATTAATTACTATTACATTATCACCATCCACTACATATTTCTAATTATACGCTTATACATATAGAAAAAAATACGATTTTCTATGATTTTTTTGACATTTCGCCTGACTGAAATATTTTAGGAACTTTAAAATTATTCGGCAACACTGTTTAGAATCCACGATTATATCTCCTACTGTAGAATACTGAAGAAATATTAATTACCTGAATGGTCTCGTAGCCAAGTCGTAAACATATCTAAAAAAAAAACAAAAACAAACGAGTACTTCGTGTGTATCTGTTCTAAAAGTTATTCCGAAACGAATATGACCTTCAGAGCTATGTTTAACAACAGTGTCTTCACACCAAAACATTTCTTATTACAGTTCCATAAGGTCCATATTATAATGCTCGTTGATTCTCCAATATATGACAGTTTCATATCAACTAATGTTTAGACGGACTTATCTGTTTATCATATGTCATTAGCAGCAATTTTTTGAATTGACGTATTCTGGTATCAATATCAAGGTTTATAGTAGGAAAATGTTTAATTGCTGGTAAAGGTAGAATAATTACAAACTAATCAACTTATAAGTGGGTACATAGTTCCAAATAATAATAAAGCAATATATGCACAGGATTTCATAGGTTGGGAGCCCACCTATAAAGGTATAGTAAGCCCGCTTGCGCTAACGGTTTACGCTGGTGGGACCTGTAGAGGATGACAGGATAAGCATGAGGTCAGATCAATTGGCCCATCAAGATAAATTTAATTTATCACGATGATTTCTAGAGGGAACTGCGTGGAGGTCAACCTGACCCATTGCTAGCAAGGGGATCATCAGACCACATCACTAACAGTTACCTTTTATTATGAAGCAGATGTTTGGGAATATCTGTATGTTCCCAAACATCTGCTTATGCTAGAAATTTGATAAATGTTTCGAAGGAGCAAGTGATAACAAATACTATAATAAGAAATTTATATATATTAGATAAAGAGATTTGCCCTGTTTGACTGACTGATCTAGTAAGGTAATCTAAATAGAAATTTTGCATGTCGCAGACCAGGCTGGCTTTGTGTAATGGATGATAATCCGGATGTGAAATACACAAGTGGATGATCACAAAATATGGATAATATCAGGTCAGTTAGCCTACCCTGGCAAATTCTCCAGGAATTTATCAGGATGGTTTTCAAGTAGGACGGCATGAAGATCAACCTGATATGGTACATCACCAGAAATGAGGTCTTTAGTCTAAATTACTAATACTCGCCTTCCCCCGATTATATGCGCAGTGAATGTGTCTTGGACTCATAACCGGTAAGAGTAATAATAAATCATAGAAGTTAGATATACTTTTCGATATTTGATATCATAGTGCGCAGTGACAGAACTGAATATACACACAATAGTAAAAAAAAGAATATTTTCTTTTGAAATATGGATACACGACCATTTGATAGTGATATCTAATTGTAGGACTATAAATATACAAAAAATATTGACTCTTATTTTGTTCCACGAATACTTTGGCGACAAAATAATTCCGGTAGTAATTCCGTAATATATATAAATTCTTTTATAAAGCGAAGCATTAGAAGTAGTCTACAAAATTACATAGCAAGTATAGGTTTCTTTGTTGCTGTATTATTGTTTTTGGGCCTAATCAATAGAGTTTAGTTACTTGTTGGTTCTATATTAATTTTGTTACGATTGAAGTTGATTTCTTTGTGGAGAAATATTAGAATTATTATTGAAACTGTATTCGGAACTTTGGAATATATGATTGTTTTTGTGGAAAAACTAGAAAAGAATTGTAGAGTTTGATAAATAGTTTTCTGCACATATTTAATAAATATTTTGAATTCATTGTAGGTTATTCATTCATAATTTAATTTTATACGTTCCATAATTTATAGAATTTATTGAATCATTTATTAAATCGTTAATTTATTTGCGGTAAACAGTAGTTTCTATTCAGGACAATACAGGACAGGACAAGTAAAAAAGGGTTTTATTTATATTTCTTGGATTTTATTAGAGAATATTTTTTAATATATATATTACATAGAAAGTAATAAACTAGCATACTTACACTTACAATATAACTTTAAACTTACAAATTTATTTACAAAACACATATACGGTACAATTTAAATTAGAACTGTGCTAAGAATTTGTTATAAGCACTCTACTTTCCAGAGTTGCTTTTTAGTCTTTTTACAATCTAGGGTTCTTATGATAAAATGTTAATGGTTGTTAGTGGAGCAGGAACACAACTACTATTTTAATAAAAACCAAATACTAGTAAAAATGTGTATTCATTAGTAAGTAACAAAACAATATTAGTTCGTCAAAAGTGACATATAAAAAATAGATATAAAAAATATAAAGTTTATAAAAAGAATGGTGGACAATCTGCCAGTAACAATGGTCTAGATATGCAATTTTATATTTTCTGATAATTAAATGTCTTTTAAAACAAAATTGAAAGGCGGCGCAGTGTAGTTTAAGGAGGTCTTTTTAATTTTGAGCGGAGGTCCGAACCATTCAACTTTGAAATTCTGTATCATTTTTGCAAGGAAAGTCTCTACTTCTAATTCCGCAATGCGACGTCCTGGAATAGCAAAATTATTATTGTCTATTATAATATTCCTACGCTTGTTTTTATATAAGTGGATGCTTATTTGCATGCTCCTTACATTTTTACAATAACTAAAGAATCGAGCATTTTTAGTCTGAGAGCATCGTGGCACTGTAGTTTCTTACCCTGAAATACACACCCAAAAGGTTTTGAGGTGAAATCTAGCCGACTCAAAAAAAAAAAGATTTTGTTTGACAATTTATACTTCTGACTGAACCATCGGTGAAGGAAAAATCTATATAAACCTAAAATACAACTAGCTAGAAACAGCTATCGTCTTGCTCACTGCTACATAGAATTTTCAGAATATCTAGCAAAATGAGAATATATCAAATGTTCCGTTTATCACATCAAGCCAAATGTCATATTTGACAATGCTTCATGTATTGGACTTGTGACGGTATCTTATTTTTTATTGAGTAGTAGAGTAGTATATTACCTATACAAGCGCGAACACCAAAACCAAAAGGATTGTGAGCGAATGGATGTGCGTTGCCGTAGTATAGCGGGTCTTCTTTATCTACAAGCCATCTCTCTGGCAGGTACTCCAAAGGTCTGGGATACTGATTTTCCATCTTGGACATCATTTCGTGTTGAAATACAACTAGCATCTGAAAATAGTGTAAAATATTAAGATAAAATATAACAGTGAAGTTATGTTCCCGCATGTTTTTTATAACATAGGGGATAAACGCTTATCTCATGGTTAAATGATTATCGCCACGATACATATAAAGACACGAACAAAAGAAATATGTAAAAAATTGCTACTTTATAGGATATATATAGGAACTGATTAATGTTAACTAGCTCAATTTCATGGCTTTGCTCAAGTAAATTGGATTAAATATTGGACGTGTTGCTTTAGGATAATTCATATTTGTGCATACCTAAATTACTTTGTAAGTTCAATAATAAAACAAACATTCAAATATTTCTACAAACTTTTGGATAATATTATAGCTAGTTAATGAATAAGCAGGAAGCGAAAGAGCTCTGTTTGAATTGTAATATTATCTTATCTGTGGTTTGAAGCGTTTGGCTCTAACTTGCTCTTGAAATAGGACTAACATACGAGTATGTATTATATATATGTATACATATATATTACAGAACAATCAATAGGGCAACTATGACATGTAGATGGAATAATATAATCTAACTGCAGTAAAGCGTAAGATTTGTAAGTACTTGATGCACTAACATCTTTAGGTATGCGATATCCCAATATGTTATATTCCTTAGTTGTTTGTCTGGCGTTTGCGGAAACAACTGGTAATATTCTCAATGATTCTTTGATGCAAGCTCTCAAGTAACGACTCTTTTGTTCTGAGTTTAATTCATCTCGCAGTTTTTCTTGCTTTTCTGGATTAATCGCGAGAAGATATAGCGACGCTGTTATTGTGTTTGAAGTCTGAAAGTTAAATATACAACCATGTTATGCAGTTTTATATAAATTTATACAAACAATATTATCTACTATCATATCATTTTATGAGTTATAATATTATTATATATTTTTAGATCACAATTAGATATACGGCTTATTTTATTAAACAGTTGTCTGAATCATGTGCAGTCGGTTACGCTTAGGGCAAACTTGTATGATTAATATGAGACAGTAGGTATGAGTACACAGATTCAATAGAAAGTTTAATAGATCATTGCAGTCATTAAAAAAATCAATGTAAATTTTAAATACTGTTTTTATTCCAATTGCATAGTGATGTAAATGAATGTAGAAAAAACACTTCACTTTATGAATCACTTAACTTTATTAAATAATAAATATCTTACCGTATCAACACCAGCAAATAACATATCCGATGCCATTATATGTGCTATATTTTCATCTATTTCAAGCAATTTTTCTAAGACTCCTTTTTCTTCGTCAGAGTTTACAGTTTTGGTGTTATATTTTTCTATTGCTTTTCCCACGAAATACTTAGCCAAACTGTAAAAAAACTTCAATATTTAGCACGTTTATGGGTTTTGCTTTCTGGTGTATTATATAAAGAGTACTAATCCAAAAAGCCGATGGATTAAAGACGAGTGCATGCTACTGAAATGCAAATGTGGAGAATGGATGTGTGGTGTGACAAGAATGGATAAGATAAAGAATGAATATAAATATAATGGAGAGTGGAGAAATTCAAAAGTAATCGTCACATACACAAATACTTACTTTTCTTGTTCCTCATATACTTTCATTGCTCTCTTGAATTTTGGTGTAGAAATTAATCGCCAAAGGCTAGGTTTAAAATCCAATTCTTCAGCTAGAATGAAAACTTCATGCACAACCTTGATAAGTCTCCTTGCTGGCGAATCTTCGGGTAAATTGGGATCGAAACAATTCAGTCGGTCACCAAGTGCCACTACACCGATGGATTCTAATGCCCATAAGTTCATCTCAACATCGAAATCAGTTTTTATCATATTGTTTTCACCTCGGATTGATCTTATCCTAAAATATTTACATTTTAATTTATCTACGAATATATGTATGTACTTAATTAAAACATTTAACTGTCTTCAGAGTTTACAAAATTTACTTCAGATATATATTAACCTGTTAATCATATCCTGAGCAACTTCTTCAAGAACAGTCCTATACAGTTTGATCGTTTTTGGTTGCAACAAAGCGGGATTGACCTTAGATCTAAAATTTTTCCATTTTTCTCCTTGGCTGAAATTGGTAGAAAGGATTATCTTTTCATGATACATGTTTAATTTCATGTTCAGTTTTACATATATTACATGTTTAGTACTATAATATAGTACCTACATTAAATGTGCAGAACGAAAAAACTTACTCGGTCAGTAGTCCGGAATATTCGGGAGCTTTACTTTTTTTGTATTTAGTTCTGTAATAGTCCAGGGTGTCAAACCCGGTTCGTATAGGAAACCAATTGTCTCCCCTGAGGATCTGTAATAAATATGTAAAAAATTGTCTGTCACTATCTGACTCTAATTTGGCATTTGTACAGGCATTTTAGTATATACTATTTTATATAATTTATTATCGAGTATATGCGAATTTATTTTGTATTTGTGTGTTATACAATATTTTAAATTATTTCTAAGGTTTAACGAATAATTTAAATTCGTATTGTAACTTAATATTATTTTCCTTCTTTATTGTATTATTATATTCAGATATTTCCTTATTGATATGTTACTTACCTGTTCGAATATAGGTACCATCAGAGTGGTTAATGGGTAGGTTGTCTATAGTATTGCATTAAAGTCGTTCATTGTCTTTATACAGAGTTTTACAAATTGTAGGTATATGTATTTTATTTCAGTGTGTAGTTTTATTAATGTATATTTGCACAAATTATTTAGTTTGTTACAATACGATATAAATAAAGTTGATGGTTGAAGTATAGGGGTCTTCTAAATAAGGAACTTTTGTGTATTTAATTGAATTGATTCCGATATTTCATTTTTATTTGAATTTTGTGTGATCTGTAGTTGTTTGACCCGACCCTGACCCGTAGTTTTTTTTAATTATCCTTAATAAAGCGACTGAAGTCAGTTTTGTTGAATACTGTATTATTAATTTTTAATACTAACTTGAGCGGAACTTTCGGGGTCTCCCAAAAATATAACTGGTGGTGAACCAAAGGTCGTCAATTTAGTGATAGGCCCATATGTCTGGTACATTTTTTCTCCAAATTCAGAGGCTGACAAGTTGCTTAGATCGCCTGGATATGCAAAAATTATGTTCGATATTAATTGAATCTTCAGATACTCTACATATAATTTAAGTTAAATTTAGGATAAAATACTACACTATCAAAAAAAAGAAACCTAATACTAATACTAATACTATAACCTAATACTAATTTAGTTGTTCTAATGACATGGAACTGTCATGTCATTAGAACAACTAAATTAGTATACTTTCTGGTTATTTAGTAATTTTCTTACATTTCGTTAAATCCCGAAAAAACTAATTGCAATGTTATCTGCTCCCATTTTCTTAATTAAACCTCTGTTTTTTTATTTATTAATTATTTTCAATAATCATTTTTAACAACTAACATAAATAAAATCATTGTTGTTCATGCTAGAATTAAATTTTTAAGTCAATAACTCGACACTCTATAACTAACATTATTTTATATGTAGGTAATAAATTAAGATACACACCTCCAGGAAGGAAATGATGAAGTTGCCCTATAATAGGTAGTGATGACGGTCCTGGTATTTCCTGCCATGACTTCAATTGTGTATCGTCCACTGCCTTAATAACTTCTTCCGACGATGCGCTTTTAACAGCGACATTTCTATACCCGTAAATAAATTATTAACGAATTAATTTACATCATACTGAATGTCGCTAGAGATAGGGAACCTATCAACTTGTAATTCTATTAAATGATTCCTGATCTAAAATATACATGGAAGGCGCCGTATTCCATATCTCATAAAGTTGCTTTCCGCGGTTGCAGATTAGTTGCTTGATCTAATAAAGTGGTTACACGAGTTTAAATAGATAAAATCAATAAAATCAATAACCCTGGATAATTTACACAACGCCATCTAGTCTTACGGTAAGCGGAGCTTGTGTTATGGGTACTAGATAACTGATATAAACAGTTAGATATATATATTTTTGTAAATACATACAATATACATAGAAAACACCCAGACCGATACAAACAATCATACTCATGAAAACAAATATTTGCACCATGCGAGAAATCGAACCCGCGATCAACAAAAGTACTTTACGTACTATGATAAATCGTTAGACCACTGAGTCCGACAAACAAATAAGTTTGGACTTTATATTTAATGTATGACAATATACACAACTTTTAGATCTCAATTCTTAAATTAATTGTTAAGAGTACTCGTATATTACCCAAAAGCCATAGATTGGCTATTATACAGAATATTTTTCTCCAAGACACGCTGGAAGTCTAAAAATGACTTTGTCTATTAAATTGATCACGCTCCAAGGAATTTGTACTAGTACGACGATTTAAAAATAGTATTTTAAATTGGATTTTGTCAGTTCTCTTCTTGGGGAATTTTATTAACTTACTTACTTACTTATTAACTTCTTTTCTATCTAATGTCCGTACTATGCTTAAACATATATATATATACATACATACATATATGTAATATTTACCTGACAAAGTTTTTGTTGATTGCCACCAAACAAAACACTGGTTTAAACTTTGACGTTTGCATGATGTTACCTTCGGATTGTGACTGAACGTCGCGCTGTTTTGATGATTTAATGGACGCAGTGTTATCTATGTATGTATACATATACTGAGAGTACCTATAAAATTTTATTTCCATTATTATATATTACCTAAAGTGCAAAAATTTTTCATCACCTTATGAATTAAAACCGTGTCGACTGTCCTGCAAATATGTATATACATATAACCTGTTCCCATAAGAATTTCAACACTAAACTATTTAATAGTAGCCAAATTTTTTTAATAATACACAAACTTTCATTGTTATAAAAAGTTACAGAAGGATTCAGTAATACTATGGATCAGAATCAGCAACACTGCAATTTATTAAAATATATCACAGAATGTGAATAGTATAGAAAGAGAAAAAGGCATACTAAATAATATTTATTTAAATTAATTTACTCATTCCTTTAGTTAACAATATTAAAATGACATTCAGCATTCTAGAATTTTCGTGTAATTTAGACATTAGTTTTTTTGTGAAGAGAAGCACCAAACACTCGTCAATAGGAATTTTCAAATTTCGAACACCATTTTTTTTCCTCTTTCTTCTGGCTCCGAACATTACAATTTAAATTCTAACAATGCACGAAATTGATATTAATACTTTCTTAGAATAATTGTAAAAAAAAACTTTAAAATAGAAATGTATACAATATACATAAGTTTATTATTCGTTGCCAAAATAATAAAAAAATTGTTTATTATGATAAACATTTATACCTATACGATATGTTTGATAATCGGCGACCTTCACTGCGACCTGAAGAGCGTTTGTTGTTAGTTCTTTGTCTAATTTAATTTATTGCTCTCAACAAATAAACATATCCGCGGCGATAAAATATATGTAGTTGGCCATGATTTGCATGTCATCATGATTTATTATTTTTTGTCGTTATGTTCTCAATTAAATGTAGAATTTAATAATATACCATATATTATTAAATATCTTTCAAACACATTCTGTCTTGTATAATAAAATTTTAACTTACTATTTTAGTAGTATGTGTGTGTGTGTGAAATGTGGTATTAGTGATTTTAATTCTTTAAATTTCATGAATAAACCGTATTTGGTATATGGTTTATTTATGGATTAAGTTGTATTTTAATTATTTTATTCATAATTGTATGTATCGTATTCAACCTCCACATATTTGTTCTTTTTTAGTATTTACGTTTTAATTTATTTAAAATTTAATACTTATATTAATCATATTCATATTATATGTCATTAAGAATTATAGTTATTTTATTAGAACAGCTACCTAATAGAATTCATTTTTGTAACTTTCCAAATAGTGTTTTCGTTTGTTTTTAGTGCAAATTGAATCATAAAAACCACTACAATACAAATATATGTTTTAACACATTCATCATGAGTAAACATTTTTATTGATAAAGGAATTTAAGTACTAAGATATTTACGTCTATACTTAGTATGCGATAAACTTCTATTATTCACCAGAATATCATATCACTTGTAATATCTTTATTCATTATCAAATTAATATTAATAGCATGGAAACACAATTAGACTGAACGAATCTACAAGACTCTAGCAGATTAGACCAGCCTGTATATGGTTACATTTCGAGAATAGTGATATATGAGAATTTGAATTAAAGAGAGTGTCGTGACCTAGTGGTATTTTATTTCGACTTACATTTAAAATATTATATCTATCTGTGTGCACTAATTTGTATTTCTAAATGAGTCTCCAATGATGGAAACATTGATGAGAAAATAAAAAAATAATCCGATCTCTCAATGCTACGTTGGATTCAAGTTTGTCCAAAGAATTATAGGTTTGTCAATTTTTGCGGTTATTCTGAAGAAATTCTCGATAAGAAAATCAAAAACTTACCCGATAATCTTGTCAATTTTTGGGATCGTCATGACATTAACAACTGATAACACATCTATATTGACTTGACATTTAGAAGACAACTATACCATCAGGGATAACTGTCGAGACAGTAGATTTTGTATATTTGTTGACTTCCAAAAAAAGCCTTATAAAATATCTCGGTGAATATTGTACCGATTTTGATGATTATTTTTCTGCATTATTCAGATTTAATTTTCATCATGATCTTTTATACAAAATATTCTTAAGTGGTATAGGTATACCAGTTTGACTTAAAATATCACTGTTAGTTTAGAATAGACATCTTACCCAAATAAAATTGTCGTATGAAATTCTTCAATCCTTTTTGTAGTTGTCTGAAAATACATTTACTCTGTATACAAGTAATACCCACTACATAAGGGTTACCCACGTATATCTAATACTATATTTATATATAGATCTAAATAGATTTATAAAGATAAAGATGGAAGGATGCACGATTTAGCAAGCAGACAGGACAATGCCTTACAAATTGTTCAGAAATTCGGACTAATCTTCTCGACGTTAGTCCTAAAATCCCACTTAATTTATCGATACCATACACGTACAGTCTGCTTCATAAAGACAACAATATGTTAAAAAGTTATAAAATTTATATACAGACGGTGGTCTAGCGGTAAGGCAGCGCAGCACACAGCGCCTTAAATCCGAAGGCCACGGGTTCGATTCCTCACATTGTATAAATATTTGAATTCATGAGTATGTTTGTTAGCGTCGGTCTGGGTGTTTTCTATATATATTATTAAAAAATGTATCAAGTATTTATAGTATACACATAATAATATACGTGACCCATACAACTACAGAAGGCTTACGAGCGACATAATGCATGGGATTGTATTCGTTAAGGATACAAAAAAACAGTAAAGTAAAATGATACAGTTTCCCAGTTCTCTCCCGTCAACAGATTCCCACAACAAGTCTGCTAAGGCTTAACATGAAAAAAAAAACAAGATATGGACACATGTATCATGCTAAAAACTGCATTAAAATCAGGTACTTATTTTAAAAGAACATACAGCGGAAGCGATTTCTTTTTAAAAAAGTGTTTAAGTGTTTGTTAGCGACAGGAATAAGCGAGACAAATGTACCCAAACGATTTTTGGCGGGCGACATTATCAAACAAACTCATTTGTGAGATGTGAATGAGATGGTAATCGATTTTTTAGTAATCCGCCGCTGTAATAACTTACAATTTTTATACCACAAGATGTATAATGAAGTTGACTGTATATACACAAGAGAGGTGGACAGATAGCAATAATAAATGTGTTTTCTGGGCAACAACATTTAATTACTTTGCTAGTTTACACGTATCTTCGTATATTGTATAAATATTAGTATCTATAATGAAAGGTAAACGTTGTTATATCAATAGGGGCTGGGATAGTGCTTGAACAATTAATGAAATTAAACCTACGGGAACAATATCGACAATGAATACGTATATATATATTGACTTATAGCTTAATTTTCTTGTATCGTTAGGCTATCAACATTAATATGAATTAACTAGCTGTACTCGCGACTTCGTCCGCATGGAATTTAACTTTATTTGTCTAAAATAAAATAATTGTTCTAAAATAAAAGTAGCTTAAGTTACTCCGTATTACATCAGATATCTACTAAAAAAGTCCCGTCAAAATCGGTCCAGCTATTTTACAGATTAGCCGGAACAGACAGACAAAAATTGTAAAAAATTTTTATTTTAGTGCATGTACCGTATTTATATTCATACGCATGTAGTAAATAATGGTTATTTCAATATTACAAACAGACATATTTTGTTATGAAGCGCCTCGATGTTCAGCGGTTTAGCACATCGGTTTACTTCTGATGGTTTGATTTCTCTCACGATATAAACATTTGTATTCATGAGCAAGGTATTCTGGGTATTCTCTAAGAATATTATGTATTGAATTTACTAAAAATACTACCTTTAGTAAGATTACCTTTATTCATCTACTTTCGGAATCTGTCCTTACCTCTCAGTGAGCTGAGAGGTAAGGACAGATATCGAGATATGATATACCATACCAAGATAATTTGTTAGTTCATAATTAGAGAATAAGTTCTTTGCTAAGAATAATAACATATTTATTAACATTTTTATTTATCAAAATAAATCTTTACAGTTAGAATTAATGAGGATGATTATCAGGAAACGTTACTGGATAGTTACAAATTAGAAGTAAACCGAGAATTTCCTCTGAGCGCGAGTCTTTTTTATAATATCGTATGCAATTTTATATTTTCCCATATTTAGATGTCTTTTAAGACAAAATTAAAGGGTGGCGCTGTGTAGTTTAAGGAGGTCCTTTTAATTTTGAGCGGAGGTCCGAACCATTCAACTTTGAAGTTCTCTATCATTTTGGCGAGGAATGTTTCTACTTCTAATTCCGCTATGCGACGACCTGAAACAGCGAAATTATTTCTACTGTATTAATTTTTTCAGATTATGTCTAACTTAATATTAAAAATTATTTATTTTTGTTTGTTATAGATAAACTCCAAAACTAAGTATATTTTGAGTTAAAAATTCTTTTAGATGAAATTCGGGAGGACCGGTTCGGGCGGATAGCTGATAAATACATAGAATAAGAATTTGATTAGCATCGAGAGAAGAATTGTAATTTGCATATATATTACATTTATAAATACACTTTAGTGTGAATGTATAATGTAAGGTTACCTATACAACTGCGAACACCAAAACCAAAAGGATTGTGAGCGAATGGATGTGCGTTGCCGTAGTACAGTGGGTCTTCTTTATCTACAAGCCATCTCTCTGGCAGGTACTCCAAAGGTCTGGGATACTGATTTTCCATTCTCGACATCATTTCGTGTTGAAATACAACTAATATCTGGAAATTGTGTAAAATACAATTTATTAAGTTACGAGAATTTCAGTGCTATTATGATTTGTATAATGACACATTATTATTGTAGGAATTTTATGTAAAATCTAGGATATAAATATATATAAGATATAAAGAATAAATATGACTAACATCTTTAGGTATGCGGTATCCCAATATATTATATTCTTTAGTTGTTTTTCTAGCATTTCCAGAGGAAACCGGCAATATTCTTAAAGATTCTTTTACGCAAGCTCTTAAGTAATGTCTTTTCTGTTGTGACTTCAATTCTTCTCTAAGCTTTTCTTGCCTTTCTGGATTGATCGCCAGAAGATATAGAGACGCTGTTAATGTGTTTGCAGTCTGAAAAAAAGGTAATTTACATACATTTTTGTACAGTATTATATAGTATTAAATGATAGCTTTAGCCATATAACTATGTGTCCAAGTAATAACGAATATTAGTACGTGGATGTTGATTCAATGGAAATATTAGTGCACAAGAATTATGATAAGTTAAAATTACAATTGCCCTAACAACAGAATGAATAAAATTAATAGATGTACTTGTGATATTTATTATCGTCCATAAATTTTATTAAGTAGTAGTTACCGTATAATATTATCTAATCGCTCTACCTGTTGTTATTTTGGCCTACTATAATTATATCTTACCGTATCTATCCCAGCAAATAACATGTCAGATGCCATTATATGCGCTACGTCTTCATCTACTTCTAGTAATTTTTCCAAGACACCTTTTTCTTCATTAGAATTTAAGTTCTTGGTGTTAAGTTTCACCTTTGCTTTATCCACGAAATATTTAGTCGAACTGTTAAAAAATAAAATATTATATTTTGAATTGAATCACAAGGTATTATAAATGTTGCCACAATTTTTATTTCGTATAGTCAGAGATACATTTCCTATTACTAAAAATTAGGTAAGTTATTTATAAAGACTTACTTTTCATGATCCTCATATATTTGCATAGCTTTTTTAAATTCTGGTGTAGAATATAATCGCCAAAGGTTAGATTTAAACTCCAATTCCTCGACTAGTATGGATATTTCTTCCACAGCTTTTAGGAGCCTCCCCGCTGGTGAATCTTCGGGCAAATTGGGATCAAAACAGTTGAGTCGCTGGCCAAGTGCCACTACACCGATGGATTCTAATGCCCATAAGTTCATTTCAACATCGAAACTAGTTTTTATCATATTATTTTCTGCTCGAATTGACCTAAGTCTGAAATATTTTTAGAAACATAACTTACTAACATAAATCAATACAGAATGTAAGTAAATGTATAAAATTTTCATCCTTATAAAAACTTAAAGTAAGAATAGTAACCTGTTGACCATATCTTGAGCAACTTCTTCAAGAACAGTACGATGCAGTTTGATTGTTTTCGGTTGCAGCAAGGCTGGGTTGACTTTAGACCTGAAGTTTTTCCATTTGTCTCCATGTCTGAAAATGGCAGAAATTAATATTTTATATCACAACAATAATCAATATTTGTACAACGGGACTTACTCGGTCAGTAGTCCGGAATATTCGGGATTTTTATTTTTTTTGTGTTTAATTCTGTAATAATCCAGAGAATTGAACCCTGGCCTTACGGGTAACCAATTATCTCCTCTGAGGATCTGTAATAACATAATACAGATTGCCATATACAAAATAACATTTATGGATATTGGTTACATAGTAGTATTAGTACTAACTTGTGCACAACTTTCGGGGTCCCCTAAAAATATAACTGGTGGTGTTCCAATGGTCTTCAAATGAGAGATGGGGCCATATTTCTTGAACAATTTCTCCCCCAATTCAAATGATGACAAGCCGTGTAGTTCGCCTAGATTAACATAGGTCATATTTCAAGTTAATTAAGGGTTGCCTCTTTAGTATGTCATTTAATATCAAATGTTTAAATTAGAACGGGCAAAGTGAATGATCACTGTATTTCATGCTGTTGAAAGCCTATATCCATCTTCATTATTGATATCATTAGTAATTCGGCAGTTTCGATAATTTACCTAAACTCGCATGATAAATTTCGAATATTCAACCACACATGTAAAAAGTATAAGAGTATAATATTTATAAGAGTGTAATATTGCCATTAACTTTAAATTTCTTTTAGTTTTGTCGTTTTTGTTTTAACCTTTATGTCTTATAAGTAATATCAAAATAATTTTATAGGCGTTAAAAATAAAAAGTAATAGTTTTATATAAACCTGAATAGCACACTTTAGTTTTTTCTAATAAGCTTAGGAAGAAGCCTACGTTAGCGTAGGCTAATTACATTATACATATAAACCTTCCTCTTGAATAACTGTATTTATTACTGGAAACTACATTAAAATCTGTTCCGTAATTTTAAAGATGTAAGTGACTTTGTTTTATATTATGTAAAGATGTAGATCATAAATCAAGATACCGTTTTGAAAGAAATGGTGCAGATGCCCTATAACGGGTAGTGATTTTGGTCCCGGTATTTCCTTCAATGACTTTAATCGTATGCCATCTATATCTTTACCAATTTCTTGCGAGGACGCACTGTCCACAGCAGCATTTCTGTAAATAATTAATTAATGAATGATTAATTAACTTGTTTGTTGTGTATCCGTCATATCGAACGTCATTAGAGATAGGCGTCTGTAAATTCGATATCCTGTAAAATTTTGCTGCTTTGCATTCCCTTTTTGTAGTTGCATCTTGGCTATCTCATTTGCCAGTCCAAGTGACCTAGTAATATGAATTGGCAGACGAGAATTATGTCACATGAAAACGTAACATAATATCACATTTATTTCACTTACATTTTCATACAATTCTCATTAGACAAATGTATTTCGCGACAGTGTCTATTTTATGAGATGTACGTAAAGATGGATAGATTTTGGGGTCCTATAAATCCATATAGGTTCACTCTACTTGGCATAAGCGCTGTTGCGCCTTCCTTTTCAGATTACCTGATAGTAAAAAATCAGCTGTCGACTATTTCGGTCTCAACTATTTTAGTCACCAGGCAGTTTGCTTTGTAAGCTGTGTTTCAGTAGTAGGGTGCGATTTGGCAGCGTACTGAATTACAGGATAAGAATTATGATATTTTCCTCTTCTGGAAATTGCACTTTGTGACATGTATGTAGGTGTTATTTATGTATATAGGCGACGACTACTGCTTATCATCAGGTGGGCTATCTACTACTACTGTGCTTTGCTTTGCTTCAATGTATATAAGTTTTAAAGACTGCAATAAATATATACGATATACTCAACCAGCAGTCCCGTACACGTTGTGCTGCTCGAAAAAACAGAGTTACTACCCAATTGTGTTTTGGGCCATCCAGGAACTAATTAATATAAAATATATACAAATCGGCCCAACCATTTAGAAAAAAAGTCAATCACACATTCAGTAGAATTATATATATTGAAATACTACACATACCTGAAGACGTTTTTATTGATTGTCACCAAACAAAACACTCGTTTTAACTTTGACGTTTGCATGGTTTTAGCTTCAGATTGTGACTGACCGTCGCGCTGTTTTTATATTTTACCATATGTGCTGTTATCAAATGCAACATATAGGCTAGTTATGACACAGGTATGAATGGTAATTTTATCAGCAGTATACATATAGTACGGCTTATGATACCGTATTTTTTGTTCTGATAATCCTGAATCACACTTCTGAATTGCCTCATCATTTAGGACAGTTAAGTCATGACATAGGCTTTGAACGTAAGAGTTTTAAAAACCAAGAATATACTAATATATAGGATATATAACAACTTGTCTTGAAATTACATAGGGCAACCCTATGTAGTTTCAAGACAAGTTGTTATATATGCATATTGAAAAAATTACTCAATAGGAATGGATAATTTTTTTATTACCTAATAATTATGTGAAATATTGCCTCTACCTATAATAAAAGTCGTACATATCAGTAGTAACGATTATATCGAAGAATGAACGATGTGTACGATGTATAGGTAACTATATCTATGTATGTATATTGAAAGATAAACGTTGTTATATCAATAGGAGCCGACATAGTGTTTGAATAATTAATGAAATCAAACATGTGCCAACAATACAGACAGTGAATACATAATGAAATACATATATTTTAAAAAAAGAAAATGAAATCATGTTGGAAAGAGTGGAACCAATGCCCTTTTTTTTAGTATCTATCCATAGTCATCATTGCCTTGTCTTTATCACAGCAGTATCTGGGATCGACGCAGTATGTCATGTTCTTCGACTGATCCCTATCATATCTAAGATTTCTCTCCTTTAATACTTTTTCACATAATCCAACTATATTTTTATCGGTCTTCATCTCCCTTAGTATTTACACATAGTACAAGCTCTATTTGAGATTTAATGGTGTGAAACACTAGGACTACATACTAAACATACTAAAAAATATTGAGATGCATAAATGGCTAAATTTTTCCATGATTATTTATTTGTATCATTGTATTTTTTATATTGTACAATAGAATAAATCGGGAATAGTTACTTTTTTTAGGCTAGTCAAAATTTAACTGTTAATTTTATGAATAAAACGGTAATGTTCTATCATCGTCTCAAAATTGTGAAAAGGTATCATGCCTGAATGGGTAGTGTGTTGGTCGGACCCAGTGAGCCATAAAGTGTGCTAGCAAATTATCTTCCGGTGTCTGAATTATGAACACGGTAGCGTTAATTCCTTCTTTTTTATATGCAACATCTAAGCCTTTGAGTACTGTGTTTTTCCATCCATTAATACATCTATAATAACCCTTTAACGACTCATTGCTTGTCGTCTTAGAGAGAAGGATTAACCTACTGTTACACATACACTTCGTAAGTTACTTGGTAGGAATTTTATTAAACAGGTAACTGTTTAATAAAATTCCTAGCAAGTAACTTACGAAGTGTATGTGTAACAGCATTGCAGTATCTAGTGAATTGTAAGGTATTAATGAATGATATTTCTTTATACTCATAGTGATTTCAATTAACTTTTCATATATCCGGTAAACCCACCGGACTCTGAGTCCTGACGAAATATAGTAATTCTTGTTACTCAAAGTAATCTTTTTTTTATTCAAAGGATTTCTTGACAGAGGGCTAAGGAAAAGTATAAGGATATTAGTGTAAAAGTACGTACCTATATCATATACTCTGGTTGTGTGGTCACCGTGGAAATAGTATTCGAAGAATTTACAAGGAAATACCTACATCCAGAACAGCGATCTATAGCATATATACCTATAGTAGAGAGGTAATCATGAGCTGTTACGACATACATTAATAGTAGGTAGTTAACTGATAACTGATTAATAATACGTTGTATTCTTTCCGAGCAGTGTTAGCCCGAAACTTAATGTTTTAAAGTTATTCATAGATATATATAGAGTTCTTCACTGTCATTTCTTCAACATTTTTAAAATACTTTATAAAATCTCAACTGCTGGCCGTCCTAAATAATCCTAATTTTCTTTTAAGTATAATTTAGTGTTATAATATTTATAGATATATCCGGTCACGAAGTCAGCGCCTTCACAAAGTTATAAACTAAATAACGTAGTATCGCTAATTCTAACCCAGAATGAGGAGGCACGTATGGCCGCTCGATTACAAATAGGCATTATTGAGTGTTTGTACGCGAAATGGGGGATTTAGTCATAAATACGTGGTAAAAAGTCTTATATTTGAGATCGACCTGTCACTATTTGTATGTAATCAATATTTCAAATAACTTGTTTTACTCCTATCGGTATTAAATGTGTATATAGTTTAATTAAAGATGTAATATACTGTCACTTGGCGTGCATACTAGTTTTCCTTGTAGCTCTGTCTTATTTATTTCTGTAACTCGTAGCTAGTATTTACGTGAAATTATAGTATACATATAATTTCATTTCCAGATTTCGTTCACTTTCAGGATGAATAGAATATAATTTTTTAATTCTATTTTAGACAACAACAATGACATAAAAAATACTAGCAATAACTTACATACATTAAAAAACAGAGTCAATGTGGACCACAACTCAACATAATGCTGGAAACATAGTTTCCTGCGCTGATTTTCAGTTGGATGACACATTAGTACCTAAAAATGTCTACAAAAATTATCACATCACGATATGATTATTAGTGAGATGTTATGTAAATAAGCGCTTTTCACTTTTCATTAACATCAGCCTGTTTGTCATTTATTTTGATGTATGATACTTATAAACATATTTTGTAGTGTAGTAATTTTAATTGTAAAGTTATCCACAAATTAACCATCTCCCATAGAAAATTAAGTATTTATAATAAATATATATATATATTTATAATAATAATTAATTCTTGTTACTCAAAGTAATCTTTTTTTTATTCAAAGGATTTCTTGACAGAGGGCTAAGGAAAAGTACAAGCATATTAGTGTAAAAGTACGTACTCGTACCTATATCATATACTCTGGTTATGTGGTAATATATTAATATATATATTTTTTCAAGATAGCAATTTCACACAACGTTTTCAAATACACAACGACGACTATATAAATATACAATAATTTCAAGCTTGTGATTATTTGCCCTACGCATACATGTCAACTTGTTTAAAAAAGCGGCGTAAAATCACTGTACATTTATTTAAAAAATACAATGATGAATGTCATTGTATTTTTTAAATAAATGTATCATACAGCACTCACTGCTGTATGACAAAACACTTTACACAGTTTAGTGAGGCATTTACATACTTTATAGTATGTTGTAGATATATTTCAACATATGTTGTAAATACAATTAATTGCACGATGGCAGCAGATGGCTTGTAATTAATTACTTGTACATCATGGCAATTCCACGAGAATGTTCGTACAATATGAGTATATCTACTCTTATGTCATTACGACGAACAAATGCTACGGTTCATATTTGCATTTTTTGATTTTGTCATCACAAATATTGTAGCAATATTTTGTTAAACGTGAGAAATTATGTAAACAGAATAATTAATTTGTATTAAATCTTCCTTTATAAGGTGCCACATCTATACTACAATACAAATAGTTATTTAGTATAAAAATTTAATAAGTATATTCAAAAGCAATTTCTTTTTTATAATCTTAGCAAATCAGTGTATATCTGTAATGTGTACATTGGTTGAAGCATTTTTGTTTAATAATAATATACATGCGTATATAAATATACATATATGTGTCAATAAATAAATAGTAACTATTTTTATATTTTATTACACAAACTATGAGCGAGGTTACGTGAAGTCGATACAAGTCGACGGGAAATAAATTATGAATATCGTCGATAATTTTTTATAATTATTATGCTATACCTGTATAGTAATGATGTTTACATTCATGTAAAATCTGATTTAATTTTATTCCTACTAGAATGTTTGTTTTGTTACCAGAAGATGAATTCAAAAGTGACGTTTAAATATTACTTTGCCTTCTGCATGCCACAATCCTCTTTGCATACCAAGTTCAACTAACTTGAAGACTGAAATCTATTTATCGAAGTAGAGACTTTGGGACGCTTATAAATTTCAAGGAAAGAAAAAATTGAAAATAAAAAAAAATTACAAAAGAGTTGGAAACATTTTTTTTAATAAAATAGATTGACTATGAAATATTATCAATTTAAGAAGATAATATTTACTTCAATAAATACTTAACTAGATTTAGTTATTGTAAAAAGTAAACAACTGTTACTGTTTTTATTTCTTTTTAACAAATGTCGATATGTTTTCGAATAATGCAGGTATATTCAAGTAGTGATATTTTCGTTACAAATCTCTATGAAGGATGCCAACATTTCGATTCTCAAAGGGTTGTTCTGAGAGCGCAATTTGTTACAACGCGTCGGAACACAAAGAGTGTCAGTGCCGGAGGCTCGATGTTTGATTCCACGAGAGACGTAAAAAATCTGCAGTATTTCATCAAGAGCCTTTCACGGTGGAAGACAAGTATTTTTCTTGGCCAAACAATAACGCAATTTATTGCTTTATTGGGTTACGTTGTTACTTAGCAATCAATGACGGGGTATGTCTATAGAAATATCTGCGATAACATACGATATTGCTGCCCAAAATGCAGCACAATCTATAACATCAACATTATTTTGTACGTTCATAGTGTCCCCTTCACTATGATGAAACCAAAAGTACCGTTCATTTTCATTTAACAATGAAGCACCAGGAATACCTTTTTCTACAAATAAGGTAATGTCTGACCCTGGACCACCACTATTTGTCATTTTATCTACGGGAGAAAATAGTTTTAGAATTTCCGCAATTATACAACGAGCTGTATTGGAACCAGCCACGTCTAAGCCTTGAGGGCTGAATGTACCTTCATCCGACTCCATTATAAAATTTATATTTGACAGCTCGTTTATATGTTTATTTAAGTATGCTGCTGCACCAATTAGACCTGGCTCTTCAGAAGTCCACAATATTGCTCTCACAGTTCGTCTAGGTTTTAAATGTAAAAGGTTTAATATAACTGGCGCAAACCAGCTAATTATCATACCTCCTCCGTCATCCATTGCACCTTGACCAACATCCCAGCTATCAATATGACCAGATACAATTACGAATTTTTCGGGATACTCTTTACCTTTCAAATCTACTATAGTATTTCTAGACTTTTTAAGGCCGTGAATATTAAACATTTTTATATTCAGTATAATTTTTTCTCCCTGATCTTGAAATCTTCGCAACAAATCTGCATCTTCTAAAGTGATTGCTGCTGTTGGAATCTTAGTTACATTTGCTTCATAAAATTGGGCTCCTGTATGGGGTGAATATATAGAGAAAGGGGTAATACTTCGTATTAATGAAGCTACAGCACCTTTCTTTGAAGCTTTTGAAGCACCTTGTGATCTATATCTTACAGTATTTCCGTAAGTGATGTAATGAGCATCAAAGAGCACAATTTTCCCCTTTATATTATTATCATCAGTTTTTTCAAGTTCTTTAAAACTACGTATCACTATTACCTCAGCTGTAATTCCCTCTGGAGGTGTGCTAACGCTAGACCCTAAACCTATCACAGCTATGTTTTTTGGATGAGGTTTTATCATGGCTACAGATTCGTGACCACGCACCCAAAGAGGTACCTAAAAGTTGAAATAAGTAAGTATAGTAACATACTTTAAATAATTATAAAACAAAATGAGTTGCGGGAGCATAAAAAATAGGCAGGAATGATAAATTAAATATATATGACAATTGATTGATTATTTAAATGTCTGTCTACAATGTAACCATTTTCCAAAAAAATCCATAGGGGCTATCTTTATTCAGGCTTTGGATTGGCAACACCTTAAAATTATATTTTAACCACAATTTTTGATCTAATATACAAATGTAATATGGAAATATTTCATTAAATTTTGGCTTTGGAGATAAGGCGACCGTTTTATGAAGTTTGACGATACCTGTTTTTTTCCCCGGGGATGAACGGACTTTTCTCCGTGGCGATTTTCCTCATGATAAAAAAGGTGTTATAGTCTTTAGTCACTTTTCTGGTAGGAACAGGTATGTGTATATAAAAATGTCAATTTATTACCTCTACTTCTTCAGTTTGAACTGTAGGTAAACCATTTTGTATGGTAAGGTTTATCATATGGTCAATAGATTTTTCTAATATATCTGAACCAGATGGACGTGCCCCGAAGGTATCGATGAAATTTGAATACCTGTATTGAAATTTTAATTATTTAATTTTTTTATATAACTAGAATACTAAAAAAGAAATATGATATCGGATGGTAAGTAGTAACTGTACCCTATATATATTAAAGATCCACGAGTACAACAAAATCTCGTTGTCGACGCTCGTGGTATCCCTCATGTTTGCTATTGCAATGGACTAAGTCATACTTTGCGATTTATTACGTAATGCCTCCATACTTTGTAACTTATTTAGAAACAAAAAAAAATTTAATACTTTTTAAAAAAGTTTATTTAAAGTTATGGGCCTTGTTTAGAGACCGCCTATACGACTTTGCTTTTATTACTCAATATATCTATATATTCAATATTTTTATGTAGGTAATCTGAGTACAAATTAATAGTTTTTGGTATAGTTACTCAAGATATTTCTAAAATTAGATATACAATATCACAAATGCTAACATAAATTAGGGATCGCAATGTAATAATTTTATGTTATGTAGAAAATTACATTGACTAAACGAATTGAAATAAAATATTATAGCATAGTAAGAGATGTTACATTGATTGTTAGAAATATGAAAGGTAGTCCCTATTATATAAATAAATAGAAGAAAGATATGCATGATTTAAATAATCTTCAGTGAAAATATAAACATAAGACATAGTAATAAATTATTTGTGTCACCTATATTTATATATTTTTCAAATGTACTGTAAATTAGTAATGAACGAAATTGTAGGTATACATAATTATGATGTAAATATAGTGTAATAGTGAAAGTACTGGATTTATTTTTTTTTAAAAAGAGAAACTACAATATTCGGCAATAGGAATCTCTTAAAGTAGAGTGCCTAAAACATCTACTGAATCAATCCATTGTTAGCACGATTATCTTAGAGTTTTATGATTTAATTTGGTGTGCATACCAATATATGTAAGTCACATTAATTAATAAAATCCACGTGAGTTATGCAGTATACCATACCAGTATTCAATGATTACCTCATTGAAAAAATAATATATTTTTAATATTTTTAACGCAAAATTAAAACTCTGAAATTTAAAAATATCTACTTGTAGTTACAATTTATTATTACATAAGCTTAATGTTATGGATATTTTGTTATAATGATATAGTATTCGTATATTGTTACTGTTTTATAAGTAAATGTTACTTACTGTTGATACATGTTATGACCATGTCCATTAGCGATTATTTCGTCCATTATCATTCTCGTTACATTTTTATACGACGCTATTTCATTAATCAGCTTTGTGTCTAAGTTGCACTTGATATCGTCATAACGATTTACAATGTATTTAGCATTAGTTAAACTATGTATTGTTAATACAAATATTGTTAATATCATTAAGTACATTGTCTATGTCAATATTTCTTAACTATCGGTGCAGTACTGGACTGTGTGGTTGTTGTTATCATATTTGTACAATTATAGGTTAACATAGGTCTATTGATAATGTGAAATGTGCGTTCCATTCAAAAACTAGGGTTAGAGGTTATGTTCGCCATATTATAAATATAAGATAATGGGTTTTTAATTGGGTATTCCCGCCAAGCATAGGAATCATTACATTATATAATGTAATTTAAGGTTGAGTATGCATACAATTACACAAGGAAAGTATACATATATTATGTCACTTCGTATCTATCCTCTGTGAATATATCGAAACGATTTCCATAAGACGGGATCCTCTGCTATTTATTTTTAGCTCATATCATTACGTTGTTGGCTTATCAAGAAAACCCTTCTCTACATGTAAAAAACTACATTTTCATACATAATAGACTTCAGTGACTAACTGGTCTACAATGCACAGATAAAATACAGAGGCTAGAGATTTGGAAACAACTTTTTAATTAAATCGTTTCATGATGATACGAGTCAGGATACCCCGCCGTTGTGCATACTGCGACTTAAATTTCACAGGCAATTATACCATAAATTGGACTGAGTACAAAATTATTGCTGTTCATTATAATTAACCTTTAACTAATGACGGTAATAACAAACACCTTTCTCCCATATAATGGGTGAAGTTGCGTAATTAGCATGAAATTCATTTGAACAGATTTTATGTGACCATTTGAATAGATCGCTTAATTTAAATACTCCTACGATCTCCTTAATTCTCTGGAGATAAGTGCATACTTAAAATAATTTAGGCTACGATTCAGTTAATGAATAGGTATAAAATTTAATCAGGGCATTAGTTAATGAGACAACAATGTTATAAAGAAATGAGAAATGAATGAAAGAAAGTTAAACAGATTTGCGAATTTTAATAAAATAGTGGTGATAACTATATTAGTTGGCAAAACTAAGACGAGAAATGAAGATATAATTAGATTATTTAGGATACCGTAGTGAATTTATATCACTAAAGAAAATAAACCACGATTATTATCTTAGGCAATGGTTTGGATTTCAACAAGATATATCCTATCTATTGCCCAATTGGTAATAGAACTATCGTTTCCATTACTAACAATATTTTTCTTATTTATAGAGGTAAACTTTATATGACACTGTTGGTAGTATCTATATATGTAATTCTCTTATTTTTACTGCTAAATTATTGTGGGTGCATAGTTGATTGATAAATCTACCTACAGGCGATGAGATCTCTTACACAAGATATTTTTAAAAAATGTTAGTCATATAGAATTTTATATCTATAAAATTATAAATAGTTTAGTCCTGACTGACTATAGTATTATGACTGAATGAATTCAGGAGATTATCGAAAATATAATATTGGGATAGGTTATCAATAATGTTATCGACAGAATGTGTGAATAAGAATGTTACAGAGACAATCAAATTGTATATATGAATGTACCACTTAAGTTGTAAAAAAAAATTATTTACTTTATTGACCAAATAAAATGTGGCACAAGTAATCCACGTTTGCGGTACCAAGTTTTATGGAAGAATTCTTTAGCCCCTTACGCACTTACATAATTCTGCCGATTATCATTTGCAGTAAGCCATACAATTTTAAACATAGCTTTATTAACACCGCTACATAGTATTGTCTACACATCAAATATTTTTCTAAATATTATTTTGTACTTATGTTACAGATACCAGAACAGAGTTTTAAGATTTTTGTCTAATCTGCACGCTAATTTCAGTAACGCCTTAATCGATTTGCTTATGATTTTTACTAATCAAGTTACAATTACAGCAATTTCTTGTAACAGAAAGTGTTTGTTTCATCCACTGCTTATATGTAGTTCTCTTTTAGCCAACTGAGTAAAGATGTCATTACAGTGCCTATATGTAGCACACGTATTCGAGGTCGTTCAGTAATATTTGAGATTCAGTCACGTAGAAAAGGAAAGAAAAGGCATGGGTGATAGTGGTAGTGGATATAGCGCGTTTAATAAAATAATAGATAAAATATAATCATATCTTCCATTTTATGCTTAATGATTATTTTGCACATTTTATTTCATTTTACTTTATGTTTTATTTAAATAAATCTTTATTCTTGTATTACGTTAAATTAGTTTGCTAAATAATGTATTCAATTAAAAAAAAAAAATTGTATAAAGTAACCTAACCTAAAATAACTTATACATTTGTTCACAATTATTCATTGTTTTGTGTGAAAGTAAATTGAAAGCGATTTGGTTTTTCAAATCCGACTGTTGTGAATGATATTTCTCAAAGACGTAGACATTATATTAAGTTTAGCCCTTTAAGAATAAAATCATGAGCACTTTTTTAATATAGTTTCGAGTCTAGAACAGTTACAATTTATTTGAGACAAGAAAATAAAATGTAGATCTACACAGCAGCAGAAGAGTTTAAAATAGAGTTATATTGCTAACTGTTAACTTTGACATTTTCTAAATTAAAAAAAAGAGAAATTTCACTTCGGCTCTATTTTTTATTAAGTTACACGTACTTTAGAAATAACTAAATAAAACTTTAAAGTAAATTAAATATAGGTAAGTTTAATAAAAATTATTCACAGATAACTCGTACTCAAATAAATATAGTATATTAATTTATTTCTTGAGGCATACTACTTATTTCTTTAAAATACTCCTAATCTATTAGATTTCATTGCGCACAGCTATTAGCAAAAGTACTCTAACAGTAGGTTTATAGAGCAGCATAAGTTGAATAGATATCTAGGAGATAACCAAGGATGGTAGTGATTGATGTAACAATAGCAATATATCAAACATACGCGATTGTGAATTGCTCGCCGGATGTGCACTATTCAAACGGAATCTAATAGGCATTCAACGCGATGATAGGAACCATTGCGTGGACAGTTTAACGTATGAATGTTATATATTTTAAAACGACTATTGTATAGAGAACGTCAGGGCTTAATGGTTCACTATTCGGAGTTACAGACCAAAAAATTGGTAAGCTCATTAGTAAGCTAATTGGTAGGCCTTACACACCAAAAAATTAATGAGCTGTGATGTGACCCACACTAAAAAAGTACGTCTTATTTGTATTTTAGATCTATTCAATATGAAAAGTCTAAAATGTATTTATGTATTTATAATTGCACACGTATATATGATAGATTTACAATATAATAAATCAACAATTCATACATGAACCCAGTAGCAATTTCGTAGATGACTCGTTCCTAAATTCAAAACTAATATCACAAAAGCCAAAAGCGTCCGTATGTCTGTCAGTTGTATCATCAGATTTTCATTTTGTTTATAGCTAAAAATGGTACAGTTCAAGGTTGTTAACTTCGTTAACATTTACGACTATACCTGTCTTTATATAAAAAATAGCTATTGCACTAGATATGGTGCTTTGAAAAAGAATTCTCCGCGACCTCATTTGAACTTTAGCCTGAATTTACTGAATTCTATGTATAAACATTTGTATACGTACGGATATACGCACAAGTGACAATGTAGCTTTAAATAGAACTAATGCCATAACTGTGTGTATATTTTATTTAGAGATATGTTCATTGGCCAGTCAGTAGATCATCCATGTTTGGATGCATGCACTCTCTTATCGTTGCATTGTGAGCGTAGTCGCACGTTTAGATAGTTAATAATTTATAAACAGAAATGATATTAATTTTAATAACTAATTTATTGATACTTAGTGCTGTAGTATATGGTGCGCCAAAGAAGAAAACATATTCTGAATTAAAGTCATGTGACCTAGGTAACTTGGCTGAAGAGATTGCCTCATATGACACAGTTGTGAAGGACATAATAGATTACGCCGTCACTGGACCCTTCAAAGGGAAGACCTACGATGAGTGAGTATTGTTGATACCAAATTAATCAGAATGGCAACATATATTTTATAGCATGGCTTCCTATGTACAGACAGATAAAGATGAATGTCCTGGTTGTTCTTTTAAAGAACGGGAAAAAGTACAGAGTCTCTAAACTTGAAATTATATTCTTAGGTTTTTGGCTAGGCTTGAAATATAAATAAATAACAATTTTACAAAATAAACATAATTTAATTTCGGGTCCTCCTGGAAATATAAATACAAATTTATTTGAATTTTTGTGAAAAGACAATCATAGTATATAAATACGTTTATAAAAAAACATTTTATTTTTTAATGTAGCTTTATGGTAGACATTAATCACTAAGCAATGTAAATTGTTATTGAATACTTGAAATTGATAAATTATCTATTTTCGTACAGTGCACTTAGAAGGTACTTATTAAATTTATTACTCAAGTCTCTATTCATTACCTTTGAAAAGTGGATTAGTTTTTATTATATCTTTAATATATTGACATGTACATATATAATAATGTCGATAAATTAGCAATATTATTTATTTATTTATTTCTAATACAGTGGTCGATATGACAATTATAATTAATTACACTCTATAATAATAATTCGTTATCCAGTGTTAAACGCGATTTTATTTAAAAACTCTACTGTACATTGTTTATCACTAAAGAAGCAAATTCTTTAGTACTTTTTTTAAGTTAACAATGACCTGTGTGTTGTGTTTATTTATTTATGAATGTTTTTTTATGGATTAATATTTATAGATTGGCTAAATTTGTGGATAAGTTTGGAGCCCGTCCGTCAGGGTCTCAAGTTCTGGAGGACTCGATCGACTATATGATAGAACTTACTCGTGAGGAAGATATAAATGATATAGTAACAGAAGAAGTGAAGGTAAGTTAATGTTTTCTTATTTAAAATATATATACTTGTAATACTTTTTGTTGCTATACTATTTAAAGTAGATGTATGCTTAACATATTGTTGATTAATGCTAAATAGATTAATATATTGACTTTTTGTCCTAATTATGAAGCATAAAGTTTCAAGTGTAGGTCAACATATCGTCTACTTTGAAAAGTTTTCAAAATTAATTTATTTTCATAATATCCATTTCGAATTTCAATAACATATCTATAATAGCTATTTAGTAGTACTTATAATTATTAAGACATAAAATAGATATACACTCATCTGATATATTTGGTTTACGACATGGATGGTTTTACTAATAATATACATACAGAAGAACGCAACATTAGTTTGAAAAATAATAGTTTTTAAAAACAATACAGTAATAACTACTGATAAAATATTAATAAAAATTACAGGTACCTCACTGGTCCAGAGGAGAAGAGAAACTAACAATGCTGGAACCAAGAGTAAAAAACATTGCTATACTGGGACTAGGAATGAGTGTACCCACACCACCTGAAGGAATAACAGCGGAAGTGATTATTATACGAAACTTTACTGAATTAGAAAATATTGAAGAAGATACTATTAAAGGAAAAATCGTCTTGTATGACCCTGTATTTACGACTTACGGCAAAACTGTAAAATATAGATCTCAAGGTGCAACAAAAGCAGCAGCAAAGGGCGCTGTTGCGTCTCTGGTTCGCTCTATTGCTCCCTTTTCTATTAATTCGCCACATACTGGTATGCAAACGTACGGAAAAAATGTTACGAAAATCCCAACTGCTGCAATAACACTCGAAGATGCTGATTTAATAAGGAGAATTATTACAAGAGGAGAAAAGGTGATTTTGAAACTGGAAATGACGTCGACTTATGATGATAAAATTTCAAGAAATACTATTATTGATTTAAAAGGTCGCGATAGACCTGATAGCCTTGTCATAGTTTCGGGACATATTGACAGTTGGGATGTTGGTCAGGGTGCTATGGATGATGGGGGTGGTTTATTCATAAGTTGGGCTGCTCCAGTAATTCTAAAACGTTTAAGTTTACGCCCAAAAAGGACTATAAGATCAATATTTTGGACTGCAGAAGAATTGGGATTAGTAGGTGCTAAGGCGTATGAAGAACAACATAGAAATGACAGTTATAATATTAATTTCATAATGGAATCGGATGAAGGTACATTTGCACCACTCGGTTTGGCAGTAGCCGGTAATCAAGAAGCACGTTGCATTATTGCTGAAATTCTAAAGTTATTTGAATCTATTAGTGCTTCAACTTTAATAGAAGATGATAGCCCAGGTTCTGATATAACTCTCATAACAAGCATAGGAGTTCCAGGAGCTAGTTTATATAATGAAAACTCAGAATATTTTTGGTATCACCATACTGAAGGAGACACTATGAATGTTCTAGATGAACATGAACTCGATTTAGGAACTGCATTCTGGACTGCAGTTGCATATATAATTGCGGATATTTCAGTCGATATACCTCGATGAACATTCTAATTATTATCATTCATTGATAAACAATGTATAAATAACATAGTTAGTGATTTAAATTTTGAATTTAATTGGTTTAAAAATTGTTAGTTGTAAATAATATATACTCCCTTATATAATTTTGGAAATGTTTCCTTTAAACATTTTTCAGAGCGAACTAAGTTTTCATATAATGCCTATTAAATAACGGGATAAAAGTAATCAATATTCTTTCTATTAGTATAATCGTAATATTGTACACCACTTAGAATGTGCTTTTTAGAGCATATGGTACCCACATAAATGTAGCATAAATCTTTTACATCTCTATAGTTTTTTCAATAAATCGCTCAAGAATCCCTATCAAATATCGTTTGGTTACATGAATATAGACATTTTCGGCAGCTGACAATCTTTCACTTGGTTGATAAGATATGTGTGTTGTTGTAATGTAAGTGAAAAACGATATTGTTTCATCTTAGTTTACGGAAAAGTAGCACTAATGAATATCTGTTATATTTGCGCTACGGGAATACTTTTGATTCTCAGTTTTAGTCAGGCAAATTTAATAAAAAAGGATTCAGATATATGTAGACAAATATTAGGAGATTAACTTATACAAGAAATTGTTTCTTATGAAAATAAGTTATAAATATTGGAATATGTTATAGAAGGTGATTTTAAAGGAAAAACATATGCCGAGTAAGTAATTAAAGTATATTTATTGTATGTTAGCGATATCCTATAGTCTCAATCTTATTAGAAAATTATGTATTGTTTTCTTATTATTATTTCCAGATTAATTTTATACTAATATATACATATTACTGACTCGATGGCATATTTTTTGTATTCCAATTTAATTATATATTTTTCGTTTGGTTAAGGTAAATAAAGTAAATAGTAAAGGCTTTATGTTAATAGAACATTATTCATTTTAATATGACAAACGTTAAATGTACCAATATGAGTTCGAAGTCGACATTAGATTTATGTTGCAATTATACAGATAGTTATATATTAGTATTTTCTGGGTTACTGGGAAATAATAATTCACTCAAATTTTATTATTTTAGACTACCTAAGTTTGTAGATAAGTTTGTTGCCCGGCCATCTGGAACGTTCTTGAGAATTCTATACACTATATGATTGAAAAAAAAAAATAACACGTGCGGAAGATATAAATGATATTGTAACAGAGGAGATAGATGTAAGTTCCTATTATTATCTTGATAAAGCAGGCTAATATTTGCACAAATTTAAGTTGTTTTTGAAAATACTAGGTTCCTCACGGGACTAGAGGAGAAGAGAAAGTAACTATGTTGCAACCTAGAGTTAAAGATATGCCTGTATTAGGACTAGGACGTAGTGTAAGTACACCACCAGAAGGTATAACGGCTGAAGTGGTAATTATAAATGATTTTGCTGATTTAGATATTATTCCCGAAAAAGATATCACTTGTAAACTTATTATATATGATCCTTCTTTTACGACGTAGGATGAGACCGTAGTATATGGGACACAAGGTGCAACTAAAGCAGCAACCAAAGGCGCTATAGCGTCTTTAGTATGTTCAATTGCACTTTTTTCTATTAATTCACCTCATACTGGCTTATAAACGTACGGAGAAAATGTAACACAAATTCCAACAGCTGCTATAACACTACACTACACTAAGATACAGATTTAATTAATAGAATAATTTCGCAAGGAGAAAAAGTAATACTGAAAATCGAATTAACTGACAGTAAAATATTATTCTCTTGACAGTAAAATATTATTTTATTTATTTATTTAACTTTAATGCACAAAAACAATGTGTACATATGGCGGACTTAACACCATGCGGTGTTATCTACCAGTCAACCAGGAGTGGTGCAGAGAAAGATTATTGGCAAAAATATATATATAAATATAATGCAAAATATTTTAAATATAAATTTAAAAAAAAATTAATAAACATACATAAATATATGTATAAATATAAACGTAGATATATAAATATTATATATAAATAAATACATAATGATCTGATAATCATATTATAAGTACAGCCTCTATATCTAGAAATACCGATATACATTTAAAAGGAAAAGAGAAACCTGAAAATCTTGTAATAGTATCAGAACATATTGATAGTTAGGACTTTGGTCAAGAAGCTATAGATGATAGGGGTGGTTTATTTGTTAGTTGAGTAGCTCCTGTAATTTGAATTTGAATTTGGAATCCTGGAATTTGCTTACGTTGACGCTTATGCTTATGAAGAAAAACAGAGATGAAAATCACAAATTAAATTTTATAATGGAGTCTGATGCACAGGCACGAAGGCACATTCATTCCTCTTGGATTGGCAGTGGCAGGTAATCAGGAAGCTCGTTGTATTGTTGCAGAAATTCTAAAATTATTTAAATCAATTAATGCTTCTACTTTAATCGATGATGATAGCCCAGGTTCTGATATAGCTATTATTATTAATACTGGCATTCCTGGAGCTAGTCTTTACAAGGCTAATGACAGATATTTTTAGTTACATCATACAAAGGGAGACACAATGAATGTAGAAGATGAACGTGAACTTGATTTAGGAGCTGCTTTTTGGACTGCGGTTGCGTACATTATTGCTGATATTTCCGTCGATATACCGCGATAATTCATGTATTATAATTTGTGATATAATATACCTACAAATAAAATATCCTTATTAATAATATTATTAATAAATATTTTGTAAATATAATAATACAAGAGAATGGAACTGAACCCATGCTTTTGTCTTCAATGTTGAGTCCAAAGTTGTTCATGTTATCATAATTAATTGTAAATAAGTGTTTGACAAATATTAAAAGAAAATAATACTTAAATACTATTCATAGAAACAAATAAATGACTATAAAATATATCTGTATAAACTAATCTGTATTTTAAAGACGAAGTATTTTCATTCTACCGGATGGAGCGATTCTATGAATAGAGTACATTAAACATTGAAGTAAATTTTATCCAAAGGAATTGTCCAATTTTCTAAAATGCGGATATTCCAACGAACTAAAATCACGAAGTATATTATATATAGGACTAACTGGGAATATTGGTTTATTATTTTATCATGGATTACAAAGATAATTATAATAAACAGTCATAATTGACAAAAGTATCGCCTAACATCTTCATTATTTTAATTTATTCTTCATTATGGCAATTACTAAATGTTTATCACAAATGAAATGTGCTTTTTTTGGGCTTAGTGGCGCTGCCGGTAAACAACAAGCTCGTAAATATTATTTCGTAAAAATACTGACAATATTTATGACTCTTAAAGTAATGATTAATTTTTGAAATAACGAAGTTGAAATATATAGTAGACAGAGAAAAGCGACCTAGAAGACTGCGTTGAGAAAAATACGGGAGTTTAAACGCAAGTAATAAATAACCAAGACATCTGTTACAGGATGCTTGCATTAAAAATAATCCATATTGATAATAGAGTTTAAAGATTTTAAAGTATAAAGGATATACTTAATCCACTCTGTTGCCCTACCTACTTACAAAAAATAAAGTTAAATATTGGTCTATTGGATATATGTGGGGTAAGTGGTAATGGAATTGTAAAGAACTTGTTATAATGGAAGAATGACCCAATATTAAATAGATACAGACAGAACAGTAAGTAGGTACTATTGATAATAATAGTATTGTAATGTAGTTGATGTCAAAGACAAATTTTATATATGTAGATAGTATATCTCATATCAATTATGATTTATTATATATTCTAAGTAAATAAGCTTTATGCAAATAATTTAAAATAATATTATGATTGTCGTCATCGTAGCCCATTATAGTCCCACTGTTGGACACGGTTCTTTTCTTATAATAGGAAAATTGAACCTATTACTATCGGAACTGATAAGGCGCACCTATATCACATAACACCAAACCAAATGATTACAGTGACTTGCAGCGTTTGTTGTTCTGCAATAGATAACGGCAACGAAGCATTGTATCGAAATTGTAGTGTACTGACTTAAGTATATACTATTTACATAATACATCAATGATTTAAATAGATATTGTTGAGAGCTGACAATATTTCAAGATGTCGATAAGATATTTTTGTGTATTAAAAGCGGAAAACATTTCCACTACATTTCAGTTTAAGGACGAAGAGCAATAATGAATATCTATGTGCTTGGACTTCTCTTTATTACATTATGTCTTAGTCAGGCAAAAGTTATAAAGGAAGAGTCCGATACATGTCGAGAATTACTGAGCGATGAATTAATAAAAGAAATCGGTTCATACGAAAATGTAAGAGACGAAATATTGAATTATGTTATCGAAGGAGAGTTTAAGGGAAAAACTTATGACGAGTGAGTAACAGTTAACTATTTTTTAAAGCTTATTGTTGTTTTATTCTATATATTAGTGTAATATTTATTAATATATTTTTTTGATATCCGTAATTCTCTACATGCATCAATTCATATTTTTTTAGATTAGCCAAGTTTGTTGATAAGTTCGGTGCGCGTCCATCTGGCACCGAAGTTCTCGAAAATTCTATCGACTACATGATTGAATTAACACGCGCGGAAGATATAAATGATATAGTAACAGAGGAATTAGAGGTAAGCATAACCTCTAATTATGAATATATTATATTAAATGAAGATACTAAGATAAGATAAGTAATTGTAATTTATTTTTTAAACTTTAAGGTACCGCAATGGACTAGAGGAGAAGAAAGAATAACTATGTTAGAACCAAGAGTTAAAAGTATATCACTATTGGGGCTAGGCCGTAGTGTGAGTACACCGCCTGAAGGCATAACGGCGGAAGTAGTAGTTATTAGTGACTTCTTAGAATTAGAAAATAGTCCAGAAGAAGATATTAAGGGGAAAATTGTCATATATGATCCTGTTTATACCACATATGGTGAAACTGGAGTATATCGAACACAAGGTGCATCCAGAGCAGCAGCAAAAGGTGCTGTAGCTTCATTAGTACGTTCAATTACACCATTCTCTATTAATTCGCCACATACTGGTGCACAAACATATAATGAAAATGTGACAAAAATTCCAACAGCTGCTATTACACTAGAAGATGTTGATTTAATTAGAAGAATAACAAAACGAGGAGAAAGAGTAGTTTTGAAAATTGAAATGACATCTTCTTACGATACTAAAATATCGAGAAATACTATTATTGATCTAAAAGGAAGAGAAAAGCCTGAAAGCCTTGTAATTGTATCGGGTCATATTGATAGCTGGGACGTTGGTCAAGGAGCTATGGATGATGGTGGTGGAATATTTGTTAGTTGGGCGGCTCCTGTAATACTCAAACGTTTAAATTTGCAACCACGAAGAACAGTAAGAACAATATTATGGACGGCGGAAGAACTTGGTTTGATTGGTGCCTATGCTTATGAAGAAAAACATCGAGATGAAAATCATAATATTAATTTTATAATGGAGTCTGATGAAGGCACATTCGCTCCTCTTGGCTTGGCTGTGGCAGGTAACCAACAAGCTCGGTGTATTATTGCAGAGATTTTGAAACTATTTAAATCAATTAATGCTTCTACTTTAATAGAAGACGATAGCCCAGGTTCTGACATAGCTGTTATTACAAATACCGGTATTCCAGGAGCTAGTCTTCATAATGCTAATGAAAGATATTTTTGGTTTCACCACACTGAGGGCGACACAATGAATGTAGAAGACGAACATGAACTTGATCTTGGAGCTGCTTTTTGGACTACAGTTGCGTACATAATTGCAGATATTTCTATCGATATACCGCGATAATATTTATTATATGATTTCTAAATAGTACACTATTAATTAGACAATTCAATAAAGAAGTCGGAAACGGAACTTTTATTTATGTATTGTAAATCATCAAGTGTTACAATACTTCAAAGCTTAATGAAATTATATGGTAATATGACCTCATCATAATATTTATTTTAGTATTCAATTCAAACAAAGAAAATGGAATATATTTTTTATTATCACTAGGTGACCCAGCAACTCCGTTTCGCCTTTGAATATATAGTGTGTCAGTTCTATTACTACACATTACCTGAAAAGATAATAGAAAATAAGCGAAAACATTTACTACTTCTTAGTATTACAATACATATTTATTATTAATTTTGTGGAGTAGTATACATAACAGTTTTCCGAACAAATACGAGATATAAGTACGACGACGACTAAAGTATGTATATAGGTCCATGCGTGAAAGTTATATTGACAACCTCGCCAACGGCAATAACGGCATCTAGCCTCCCTACGGTTTACCCGTTGCCCTTCGATCCGAGGTCTGAGCCGAGGTTCGAAATCCTAGCGGTACTTTCAATCTAAATTCGTATCTGTCAGGCAGGGGCTAGCTTTCAGCAGCTTCATAACTTCTTTTGTTGGTTTGGACTGCCACCTGCACTTTCCCATCACAATCCCATCGTTCGATGGAGTTGTTAATGCCAGCTGCGGGCAACAGCATTAGAATAGTTCGAAACAAAGCGCGAAACTGGGAAACTAAGTTGACTCCACTTGTAATGTGTGATATACGTAATGGCTACAACTGAACATCTAACATTTCATTTAGGTTTTTTAATAAGTGATACTTAAGAAGTTACGTAAGTATCATCTGATCTTCCATCAGTATCGCGATATAAACTACCACTTGAAAAATAAATTTAAGATATGATAATTATCTTGTATCGCTGGAATGGAATTGTAAGTAATATTATGGATAAGTGTCCTCATTGCTATGTACCATGCATTGTACTATGTTAGGTTGACTTCCACGCAAATTCGACACAATGGGCACAACACCTACATATTAGTTATTTAGTAGTCATAACACAGACTCTGGTTAGATTCAGACTAGATGGCGTTCTGTGGTTTCTTCAAGTTATCATTATTACATTTCAATATACGTAGTCACAATATAATAGAGTTTAAAGTATGAAAGTGACGTTCTATTTTAGTAGATAATTTGAATTGATATAAAACCTTCAGGCTGTTATTTTTTCGAATTAAATTTTTCACAAAATTTTCGACCTTCTATTGATTTTTTCTATTCACCTTAGATGGGTATGATGGATGGATACTTAAAATATATGAGCTATTTTTTAATACGAGTTCCGACGCGGAACTAACGCTGCAGAAACGACTCGCAATATCAATGCTACGCAAAAATTTTGTAAATATTTGACATCATATTGATTGGTCTATAATTGCTTATATTGTTTTTATTTCCTTTTTTATGTATTAAAATTATTTTGGTGTTAGTCCATTGGAGAGGGATTTCCTCTGTCTTGAGAATATCGTTGCATATTAAAGTCAGTATGGTTGCTCTTATTTGTTTTTTGTTTTGTAGTAGCAAATTTATTATTTATTCGGATACCGGAAGCTTCGATTGGATACCAGCAAAATAATGATGGTTTATTACTATATCACGACTCAGAAAAAAAAGAGTTTCAATTTTTTTATGTTAAATCGGCAATTCATAATGTAGTAACTACATATTTTTATCTAATATCGTCTGCATAAAATAATAAAGATTAAACTGACAGCTGATAATCTTTCATGCAATAAGATTACTTCTTGATAAGACATTTCATTTTAATAAAAGTGAAAAACGGTATCGCTTCATCGCAGTTTACATAAAAGGAGCAATAATGAAAAACTACTACATTTGTTTATTGGGAATAATTTTTATTATAAGTTATAGTCATGCAAAAGTTATAAATAAAGAATTCGATATATGTAGAGAGATATTAGGAGAAGAACTGATTAGGGAAATTGGTTCTTATGAATCTGTGAAAGATGAAATACTGAAATATGTTATAGAAGGCGACTTTAAAGGGAAAACGTACAATGAGTGAGTTCAAATTAAGTACTATTTAGTAAAATAAGTAGTATTTGGGTAGTATTAATAACCTGCTATTATTTTTTAGATTGGCTAAGTTTGTAGATAAATTTGGTGCTCGTCCATCAGGCACTGAAGCTCTAGAGAATTCTATTGATTACATTATTGAAAGGACACGTGAAGAAGATATAGATAACATAGTTACAGAGGAATTAGAGGTAAGTCATGTAAATCAGTTAGTTAGTTGGATGAGTGGGCAAGTCACTTCACTTAGTAACTATTTTTATTGACTTGCTTTCCATTTAATTTTCAGGTACCGCATTGGTCTAGAGGCAAAGAGAAAATAACTATGTTACAACCAAGAATTAAAAATATATCTGTGTTAGGATTAGGTCGCAGTATCAGTACACCACCAGAGGGCATAACCGCTGAAGTGGTCGTTATTAGAAATTTTGATGAACTAGAAAATAGCAAGGAAGAAGATATCCGGGGAAAAATAGTAATATACGATCCTGTTTATACCACATATGGTGAAACTGGAATATACCGAACACAAGGTGCATCTAGAGCAGCAGCTAAAGGTGCTATAGCGTCATTAGTACGTTCAATTACACCATTTTCTATTTACTCGCCACACACTGGTGCACAAACATATGATGAAAATGTTACAAAAATCCCAATAGGCGCTATTACCCTGGAAGATGCTGATTTAATTAGAAGAATAACAAAACGAGGAGAAAGAGTAGTTTTGAAAATTGAAATGATATCTTCTTACGATACTAAAATATCAAGAAATACTATTATTGACCTAAAAGGAAGAGAAAAGCCTGAAAGTCTTGTAATTGTATCGGGTCACATCGACAGTTGGGATGTTGGTCAAGGAGCTATGGATGATGGAGGCGGAATTTTTATTAGTTGGGCGGCTCCTGTAATTTTAAAGCGTTTAAATTTACAGCCAAGAAGAACAGTCCGATCAATATTTTGGACTGCGGAAGAATTAGGTTTGGTTGGCGCTTATGCATATGAAGAAAAACATCGAGATGAAAATCATAATATAAATTTCATAATGGAGTCTGATGTGGGCACATTTGCTCCTCTGGGTTTGACAGTAGCCGGTAATCAGGAATCCAGATGTATTATTGGAGAGATTTTGAAATTATTTAAATCGATTAATGCTTCAGCTTTAATCGAAACCAATAGTCCTGGTCCGGACATAGCTGTTATTACAAATACTGGTATTCCAGGAGCCGGTCTATATAATGCTAATGAAAAATATTTTTGGTTTCATCACACTGAGGGAGATACAATGAATGTAGAGGACGCACATGAACTTGATCTAGGCTCTGCCTTTTGGACTGCGGTTGCCTACATAATTGCTGATATTTCTGTCGACATACCTCGGTAAATAAAGTTACACTAGTACAATTAAAATTATTCAATTACTGGTACCATATTACAACAAATTAAATTGTTAGTACACATTTCTGCTCAGTATAATTCTTTATACTCATATATTTAATTTTTTTCATGTGTTTTGGATACTTGGTCTGACATAGATTTTATACTAATTTAGCTTTTGAAAATTCAAAATAATTAGATATCTTATATATAAAATTCTCGTGTCACAGTTTTCGTTCCCATACTCCTCTGAAACCGCTTGACCGATTCTCATGAAATTTTGTGAGCGTATTGAGTTGGTCTGAGAATCGGCCAACATCTATTTTTCATCCCCCTAAATGTTAGGGGTAGTCCACCCCTAATTTTTTTTTTATTTTAATGCAAAACAACGTTTGCCCGGACAGCTAGTATATATATAATTTAATAGCCTGTATAATTTAATAATCACATTTTGTCATTATTAGTAGTTGTACTATGTAAACTTTACATAACATTTAAATGTTTATAAAGATGCAGTCTTTTAACCATTATAATGAAACGAATAATAAAAAAGAACTTTCCCAGTGGTAGATCTTAGCGGAAAATTGAAATCAGAAAGTGTGAATTCTTCGTGTACGGTTCATTCTTTTACGGGATTGTTGCCCTTGGGACCGATAAATGTTATCGGAAATATTATAAAGATATCTTCTATGCGACAGCCAGAATAGAGGAAAATTTTCTATAAACACCGTATGCGATCCACCTTTCGATAAAGGCCTTAAATTATGTTATCGTTACGAAGCGATTGAAATAAAAGTTTTAGCTTTCTAGGAAAATGTCTATTCGAGCGTAAAATGTTTCAAAAATTCTATTATAACACAATATCTTACAGCAACAAGACTTGTTTTGACAAAGAAAATATACATTAACCATTTCGCCTAGTCCTCGCGTGAATGCGTTTGATTATGGGGTGGTCTTAAAAATGTGTATGGATTTTTTTATTTTCAAGACTATACTTAGATAGATTTTTACAAAGTGGTCAGCGTAGTACCTCTGTCTCACCTATTTCATGTGAAGTAGTTCGCTTGAAGGGTGGAATAAGGCAGTGAAATTACAGAGTGCGGTGACATGATATCGTAGTCCTCTGGAATGGAAATGCAAGAGAGCAGTCACAAGATGAAGTGATGTCGTGGTACCATTTAACTGTATAGGTAGGTAAGTGGTCAACAAGATGGCGACTTACCAGTGGTAATACGTGAGTTGTAATCTTCTTGTGTAATCATGGCCATTATTATTAATTAAGAATATTTGCGATGGCCATAATTGGAAATTTCTAATAATATTATAGAAGTACGTCGTTTTGTAATAGTTGAAAATACTACTTGAAACATTTAATTTTAGTATATTAAGTTAGTTATCCAACATTCAATGAATATTTTAATATCGCACAGGTTATGGCAGAGTGAAAATTACGCCAGCAACGCCCTCCCCGCAAGACTAAATTATAGCCTTAATTTATTTGAATGTATGTAAATATTACACAGGAAGTAGGTATTCATTAGAGCATTAATTTTCAACCGGTGCCAGAAATTAGAGGTTTCATGATAATAGTCTCTGTTTTTTATTATTTAGAATACTATTTCAACAATTTCGAAGATTGAAATTTTTAATATCTCTTCCTGTATATGCTACGGGTAGTCTTTACCAGTTGAAAAAAGATTATTATGATACTTTTTGCAATTAATACTCATTATTCTTATATTGGTTCTATTTCGTATTGATGCTACTTCTGTTCTTATTCGGAGTCCTTTTTTAACTTCAGGTGTTCATAGGCTATCGGCATAGGTAACCATTTATCATCATATGGGCCATATGCTTGTACCACCATTGTAGTATAAAAAAACTTCGGTACAGTATTACTTACAAAGGGTGAATCTAATATATAAAATTCATGTGTCATACTCGTTTCGTGTTTATACTCCTCCGAAACGGCTTTTTTTCAGTTATTCGACAATTTTTGTTATAATGTGTCATTAAAATATGCTATTTTGAATAGCAATATTAGAAATTAAATTTATATGGCAAAACAACATTTGCCGGAAGAGTTAGTAAGATATATAAATACATTTAAAGAAACTGCTACAGTCCATAAATTTAATCTGACATATTTGAATTAGATAAACCCTGTAAAGTTCAGTGAAGTATAATTTGAATTCAAAAATAGGCTTTATAATTTTTAAGTAAACTGCTTTACTATTCGAGTCCGAGTCCAAGTCACCCAACACGTGTGCACAGCCACCATGCGCTGAGTTTCAGAGACAGTAGCGACAAACCAGTATCATCGTGTTAGCTGGATACATGGTTAATGTTGTGTAATAAAAACGTTATTGTTCCATTTACGAATGCATCCAAATTACTGTTGTACTAAAAGGCTATTCTATTAAGAGTAAAAGACATGATATGCCGATAGTTATTTCATTCGCTGTAATGTAAGTATTAATCTCTATATAGTCATATACTGAAAATAGAGTTTTACTTTAGTAATCAATACGAAAATATTGTTTAAAAATAACTATTTACTGAAAAATAGTGCCGAGCAAACTTGTAAACCTAATACCTAAAATAAATGGGCTATTTATTTAGCTCAATTCTGTGAATATAACGTAAATTGTTGTTATTTATTTCTTGTTAGATTAGTTAAAAAAAAAAATACTGATTTTTTGTAGGTTATGTCTAGAATAACTCAAATAATATAGTTGATATGTTTTTTTGTAAATATATACAATCTCTTTGAAAAGATTATGCAGTGTTTCTAGCTATGCAATGCTACATTTCGAACTAATGGTAGATTTCTCTTATCATAAATGTCTGTTATTGTTGTACATGAAGAAATATATTAAGATTTGATTTGATAAATACAAATTGATAAAAGATTTATCTCTATAACCCTCTATAACTGAAGCAATATGTCATAATTTATGCTTTTTTTGTCATATTTTATGTGATGCCTCGTGGCGTCATGGTACGTCCTTTTGTTTTGCAAAATAACTAATTTAAATAAGATTTAAAAAAAACAAATTCTATAGCAAAACGTATCCAAAAAATATAGTCAAGAATGTTGATCTACAGAGGAGCATGTAACCTATAATATATCCATTAGACCTTATTCCATTTATAATATACTAGCTTTTGCCCGCGGCTTCGCTCGCGTTAAGAAGTATTATTATTAATTAGGTATAGTTTTTGCGGCTTTACTTTTGTTTCCTTTCTTAGGGGATGCCTACGTCATAGTAGCTTTATGTATGCAAAGTCTCAGACCGATCGGTTTAAAATTGACAAAGTTTCATACAAACTTTCATTCCCTATTTTATGCCTTGGGGGTAGAATTAATAACAATTCTTAGCGGATGCCTACGTCATAACATCTACCTGCATGCCAAATTTCAGCGCGATCCGTCCAGTGGTTAGGGTTGTGCGTTGATGGATCACTATGTCAGTCACTTTTGAGTTATATATATATATACAGTATTAATGGGAAAACGTCTGTATAAGAATATACATACTCATAATTAATATATTTAATAGGTACTGATACAATGAAAATATTTTGTTACGTAGATACGAAATAATATCTTTGCATGATTAATTTTCGTCGCTAAACCCTTATCTTTGGATAGTGGTCTAATGAAGGAGTTTGTTTACATTTTCTATTAATTGGCTATAGTTAGGGTGGGTATATACCATATAACATTATAATGAATATAACACTGTAGAAATCATGCTTATTATCATGCATATTTTGGTTGCGACTATGTTATGTTGTAAAAAACATTGTCCATGAACTATACACAAAATTCTGGTAGGTAGTCTAGCAGGATTTACACACTGTGCTACGTACTGGTGGTCTCTGGTTCAATCCCTGCACAAAACATTTATATTATATTATATGGGACTAATTATAATTATATATCTACATATATATACAATAAGTATTAGTCTAGGTATTTTCTATCAGTATTATGTAGACCGTATTACAAATTACTAACTTAATTGTATAAGAAACCTTAATTTTGTCTAAACTGAGCTTAATAGATTACTTAGAAGTTTATATTGCATGTTATATAAAGGCGGTATAAACTGAAGGGTAAATATTAGTTTAGTTTTACTTTCAAGGAGAAGGGACAGCAATGTAACAACATTTAATAGGCTGATCTTATGGTTTTGTGGGATCCTGTGTTATTAGAAACTTCAAATTTCATACAGAATTTGGTAGTTTAAAGAAAATTAGCTTGATTTTTGACTTAAATTGATTATTGTTGTAAAATGTTAATTAATGAACTTTAAAAGACATATTTGAAAACAATGAATATAATATTAAAATAGTTAATTCCAGGGAAAGCAATAATATAATTTACATGTAAAAACATGGTAATTTGTATGAAACATTATTCTAAACATCACTCAATAACGCCATTTCATAAAATTCTGAGGTAATTTCTACAACCACATTTAATTAATTCTCCTTAAACCTTTATTTATATTCTTCCCTAAGAAACTACGTTTTAAGAATAAAAAGAAAATAAATAAGATAGCTTGGTCGTCCAGATACTAATCCTTATGCTACTAATATATAATGTAAATACATATTGTATTAGGTGTGTACATACATTTCGGAGTTCTATAGTCAGTTATTCGAGCAAGAGACAGTACTAAGAGGTTGCTTCTTTTGTTCCACGAGCCCTGCGCCGGGTGATAAGGCTTCGACATTAACGTCACAATTGATACGGGGCGCAGTTTTAAAGTTCAAATTACAGTACTTTATTACTCTGCAGTGGGTTTTGGAGGCTTATCTTTTGCAGTTGGAGCACAATATTGTGGATTGTGACAGCTCTTTTTGTGATACACATAATTGGTAACAAATGGCAACAACCTTACAAGTATGAATGATTTACAGTATTATTGACTACTAGGGTTACGAATACTGATTAGACTATTTGCCTTTGACAAAATAATCACTCTATTTCCCAAA